CTTCTTCACAAAAGTAGTTATTGAACATTTAAGCAACAGTACCTTTCCTTCCAATGGAATTTCTTGGGGAATTCCAATGTATCAAACAGATAAAACTTGAGCTGCTGAGGTGGGGAGACCTTACCCCCTCAGGGCCTCCCAGAAACAGAGTCCGACTTGAGAATCAAGGGTCCACTTTGTGACTTGAGAAAAATGGTAAAAAAACAAAACAAAACAAAACCCACCATGTTCTGTTGTTAGACGTTTAGGTAGTTTCCAATTTTATGGACACCTGGAAATTAGTACTCTGGTAGATGAATCTCTTGTTTCTTTTGGTAACTTCCTAAAGCTGGGTTTCTACATCAAATGCATGTATTTTCAAAGGGAAAAAAATCTTCAATTAAAAAAAGTCTTCTTTATTAATAAACAAAAGTTTTTGAAGAAAAGAAGTCCTAGGTCTCTTCCTCCTATCTACCTTCCCTGCTCTGTTTAAGTGCTGGCAAGGTGCAGGCACTAGGGCGGCAATAGCACAGATAAACAGAAGGCCCTTGCCTTGCAAACACTTCAGCGAGGGAGACAAGTACTAATCAAACGTAATTATACACCCTCATGAGTATTATGAAGGAAAAGTTTGAGGAGGCTAGGAAGGCAATGACTGCGGTTAGGATAACATTCCCGAGGATGTGACCTGTGAGTGTTAGAAGTTGATCAAGGCCTGGGGTTGCCTGGCTGGCTCCGTCAATGTAGCATGCAACTCTTGATCTCAGGGTTGTGAGTGAGCCCTGAGTTGGGTGTGGAGATTACTTAAAAAGATAAAATCTTAAAAAAAAAAAAAAAGTTGATCAAGCCTAGGGACTGGTAGCGATATAAGGAGAGGAACCTTCCAGTAGGGTTGTGTCCCTGAGGGGAGAGGGCCAGAGAAGATGGTTGGAGCCCAGAGTAAAGAGGGAAGGGGTAGGTGGGGAGGAGGTAGATCTGGGAAGTTGGCAGGGAACACACCGTGTGAGGCCTTGTGGTACTGTCAAGATTTCATTCTTTTTTTACTGAGGAGCAGTAGAGAGCCATGCACACTCCCAAACTGAGGGTAACAGATGTAAGCAGCCTTGTGTCTTGGAAAGATTTCTCCAGATGCTAGGGAGAAAGCTGACTGGAGGGCTGACAGTTTTAGCACCCTGGTCAAGGGGTGATGGTGGCTTTGGTGAGTGGGCAGCGGGAAGTGGGTAAATCAGAGAGACCTTTAGGATATTAGTATATGGGCTTTAATATGACACCCAGCCCATGTCAAGGATGACCTCTGGGTTTCTAGCTTGTCTAGGGGTATCATTTTTAAAACCAGAATCACATCAGTGTATCTCTCACATATTTCTTTCTTTCTTCCTTTTTTTTTTTTTTTTTTTTTTAAGATTTTATTTATTTATTCATGAGAGAGAGAGAGGCAGAGACACAGGCAGAGGGAGAAGCAGGCTCCATGCAGGGAGCCTGATGTGGGACTCGATCCCGGGTCTCCAGGATCACGCCCTGCCCCAAAGGCAGGCACTAAACCGCTGAGCCACCCAGGGATCCCCCCTCTCACATATTTCTTAAGTGTGGATGAATATGTCTATAGTGATTGCTTTTTGAAAAAGAAGACAAACAAGACCTACTTTACATAGCATTCTGGATTCCGTCCCCCTTGAGGGGATTTTCAGGTGGGGTACCTTCTTCATTGTATTCCATTTTGCTTGGTATGCCCTCTTTTATGTGACTAGCCCTCCATACCAGACATTGAGGTTTTATTTTATTTATTTATTTATTTTAAACTAAGCGATTTTCTTTCTTTAAGATTTTTTATTTTTTTATTTTTTATTTTTTTTTTTAAAGATTTTTTAATTTATTTATTCATGAGAGACACACACAGAGAGAGAGAGAGAGAGAGAGAGAAAGAGAGAGGCAGAGACACAGGCAGAGGGAGAAGCAGGCTCCATGCAGGGAGTCTGACATGGGACTCGATCCTGGGTCTCCAGGATCAGGCCCAGGGCTGAAGGCAGTGCTAAACCGCTGAGCCACCCGGGCTGCCCATTTTTTAAAAGATTTTTTTTTTAATTTTTTATTTATTTATGATAGTCACACAGAGAGAGAGAGGCAGAGACACAGGCAGAGGGAGAAGCAGGCTCCATGCACCGGGAGCCCGACGTGGGATTCGATCCCGGGTCTCCAGGATCGCGCCCTGGGCCGAAGGCAGGCGCTAAACCGCTGCACCACCCGGGCTGCCCATTTTTTAAAAGATTTTATTTATTTATTCATGAGAGACAGAAGCAGAGGCACAGACAGAGGGAGAAGCAGTCTCCCTACAGGGAGCCCAATGTGGGACTCAATCCCTGGATCCAGAATCATACCCTGAGCAGAAGGCAGATGCTCAACTGCCGAGCCACCCAGGCATCCCGACATTGAGGTTTTACCCTATGTTTGGTCATCACCAACAATGGAGTAGTGAATATTCTTGTCTTACATGAGGGTTTCTGTCAGATTTCTGGAGGTGGAATTACTGGGTCATATGCAATGCACATTTACAGATTTGATAGATGTTGTCAGGGTGCCCTCCAAAAAGTTTGGATTAGTTCACATTTTCTCAAGCAGTGTATACAAGGGCTTGTTTCTTGACTCCTCTTGCCCATGCTATTGGCAGTCTTATTCTTTGACCATCTAGGTGAAAAGTGGCATCTTTTTGTTTTTTTCTTACTGCTTTACTTTGCAGATTTAGAGATTACATTGATAGATCTGCTATAATTTTTAAAAATTGTGATAAGATATACATAACATAAAATTTAACACTTGAACCATTTCTGTATGCAGTTCTCTGGCATTAAGTACATTCATATTGTTCTGCAGCCCCCTCCTCCATCCCTCAGCAGAACTTTTTCAACTTTCCAAACTGGAACTCTATACCTATTAAATACCAACTTCCCATTCTCCTCTCCCCAAGCCTTTGGTGATCACTAATCTGCTTTCTGCCTCTTTGAATTCACTTTCAGTAGAATCCGACGATATTTCTCCATTTGTGGCTGATGGATTTCACTTAGCATAATGTCTTCATGGTCTATCCATTTTGTGTGTGTCAGAATTTCCTTCTTCCTAAGGCTAAATAATACTCCATTTTGTTTATTCGTTCATCCGTTGATGAACACTTGGTTGGCTTCCGTCTTTTGGCTATTATAAATAATGAACAGGGGTGTACAAATATCTGTTTGAGTCCCCACTTTCAATTCTTGGGGTGTATACCAAGAGGTTTAATTGCAGGATTATGTGGGGACACCTGGGTGGCACAGTTGTTTAGACATCTGACTCTTGGTTTTGGTTCACATTGTGATCTTGGGGTCATGAGATCAGGCCTGCTTGGGGCTCCACACTTAGTGTGGAGTCTGCTTAGGACTCCCTTTGCCCCTCCCCTGCATGCTCTCTTTCTCTCCCTCAAATAAATCTGTGAAAAAAAATAATTGCAGGATTATGTGATATTTCTGTTAGCAGTTTTTTGAGGAATAGCTATCCTGTTTTCCACAGTGATTACACCATTTTTCATTCGCCTGTAGCAGTGCACAATGTTCCAGTTTCTCCATATTCTTGCCAACTCTTGTCATTTCCTGTTTTTGGATAGTAGCCATCCTAATGGATGTGCAGTGATACCTCATTGTGGTTTCTGATTTGCATTTCTTTAATGATTAGTGATGTGGAGCATCTTTTCATGTGCTTTTGGCCATTTGTTTATCTTTTTTGGAGAAATGTCTACTCTAGAATTTTTTGCTTATTTTTTAATTGGATTGTTTGCTGTTGTGAGTTGTAGGAGTTCTTTATATATTCTGGATATTAATCCCTTATCAGATATATAATTTGCCAATATTTTCTCCCATTCTCTGAGTTTTCACTCTGTTGATAGTATCCTGTGATGGACAAAAGTTCTAAATTTTAATGCACCTTGTTATTTTTAAGTTTCCTTGGTGTATATTCTATTTTAATTTTTACATTAAAGTAATACATACACGTACAAAAAATATATATATAAATATATATTTTATATAAAATATAAAAATATAAAATATAAAGTAATACATACACATGGTACAAAGAAATATAAAAATATAAAGCCTGGGTGGCTCAGTTGGTTAAGCGTCTGCCTTCAGCTCAGGTCATGATCTCAGAGTCCTGGGATGGGACCCCATGTTGGGCGCCCTGCTCAGTGGAGAAGCCTGCTTCTCGCTCTACCTCTGCCCCTGCCCCTGTTTGTGCTCTCTTGCTCTCTCAAATAAATACATAAAGTCTTAAAAAAAAAAAAAGGTATAGAAATAAATGTCATCTTTTTTTTTTTCATTCCAAACTCCTGGTGCTTCTCTCTGCAAGTAACCATTGTTAACAGTTTTTTTGGATATCTTCCAGAAAGCTTTGTATACATGAAGCAACAAATATGCCCTTTTAGAAGGTATATTCAGGAGCGCCTGGCTGGCTCAGTTGGTAGCATGCAACTCTTGATCTCAGGGTCGAGAGTTCAAGCCTCACATTGGGCATGGAGCCTACTTAAAAAAAAGAGCATAAAAAAATAAATGAATAAAATTAAACAAAAAATGTATATTCAGATGGGTTCATACTTTGCTCGTTTTGTTTTTACTAAAACGGCTTCATTCACTATCCTATATTTGACTAATACCTTATCAAGGGATGTTTTGGGTGTTTTCAGTTTTTGAATTTATAAACAGTCCCAGAAGTAACACTTTGTTCATATATTATCTTGTACTTTTGTAAAATGTATCTTAGGCGCCTTTTTAAAAAAATTTTTTTGGAGAGATGTGTTTGTCCATGAGGATAGTACCAATTCACAACCCCATTGGGGGGGTGTCATGTCCCCTACACTCTTGACAACTGCAGGATTACGCTTATTAATATAAGCATACTTACCACTCTGACATGCAAAAATCAGTATCTCGGCATTTTAGTTTGAATCTCTTTTGAATACTAAACAGGTTGACTATAAAATGAGCTTATTTTCCTTTCAGAAACCCCTCAATGTGACGGTGATCCGCAGAGGGGAGAAACATCAGCTTAGACTTGTCCCGACCCGCTGGGCAGGAAAAGGACTGCTGGGGTAAAGTATCATTTCTGCTCACTTACACGATGCCCTGTCAGTTTTCACTTGAGTGTTTGTCAGCCATAAAGCTCTGGGGAGGAGGTAGGGTGGCTACTGGGAAATGATGGTATTCCCCAGATCGCTTGTAGAAACTCCTGATAAGTACTTGAAGCACGAATGAGATTGCAGGTGTGGAGGTAGAAGGAGCCCTGGTCACTCATTCTTTCACTAACTGGGCATTTGATTTAAAAGACAAAGAATGCAGGTGAATCACTCAGAGGGCTCCCTTTTTGGTCTTCTGATTGGAGCCACCAAACTTATGTCATTTCTTTTCTTTTCTTTTTTTTTTTTTTTCTTTCAGCTGCAACATTATTCCTTTGCAAAGATGATTGTTCCCAGGGAACAGTAATAGGAAACCATCTTCCCTTGCCCTGGATGTGGGTCTGGTGGGAATTTCTTCCTTCTCTTCTCTCCCGGAAGCTTAAGGATTTGGAGGAAGCTGGAAGCCTGGACTTTTGGGTGATGGAAACGCTGTGGCCTTGCAGTGTAACCTCTTGGGATTAAGGCATTGTTAACTTGATTTGTGCTTGGCATCTTTTGCGAATTAGGCGATGGCCGTAAATGGGAGTTTTCTGGATTGTGGGGAAGTGGGTGGGAGTTATTCTGGCAGGTGTTGATAGGATGTTATTCTTTAGGATTTTTCCTCCTGAATAAACACAGGTTTCAGTGCTGATATGAAGATGTTATCACCCTAACCGAATTCCCTTTTAAAAAATTTTTTTATGTAAATTAAATTTAGTTAACGTACGGTGCCAACTGAATTTCTTGTGAACCTCCAAACCAAAGCTCTGACAGGAGTTAGAACATTCTTATAGAGAGTTGGACAGGGACACCTAGCTGGCTTAGTCAGTGGAGCATGTGACTTTTGATTTTGGAGTTGTAAATTCAAGCTCCATGTTGGGTATAGAGATTACTTAAATAAAATCTTGAAAAAAAGAAAAAGTTATACAGAACAGGGGCACCTGGCTGGCTCAGTGGGTAGAACATGCAACTCTTGATCTTGGGGTTCTGAGTTCAAGCCCCATCCAGGGTGTAGAGCTTACTTTAAAAAAAAATTTGGACAGAACCAACCAACAGTGGTTCTGAAGTCAGGATTTGACCAACACTTCAAGAACATCATCCGTTAGTGAGTGGGATCTGCATCTGCATTTGCATTATGGCACTGCTGCTCTGGATACAGAAATTACATCCTCAGCAGCTCTACCTCCCAGGCACATTGCTCCCTTGAAGAATAGGGAAAGCCAGGAGGCTCCCCAGGTAGCCCCCTTAGGTGTCAGCTTCCTCCTCTATAACCCACAGGACAGCAGCAAGCTCCCTTTGCTTCTGGAATAAAAAACATTGCAAATTATCTTCTAATTTGACCTTTTTAGTTGAACCTCCTGGTCATCCCCTCAAATCAACAGTAGTTTGTAAACTGCCAAGGTGTGCTTGATTGCTGATGGGACCAGCAGTGTGTGCATACCTGACTCCTTGAAAATGCTGATTCCTTCTTCCTTCCTTTTATTTTCTCTCTTTCACAGGGCCACATGGGTTTCAGTGATTCTTAGTGACTCTGTGTTTTACTTTCTACCTTCACCTTATCACTATTTTTTCCCACATTTCTTGCACGTCACTTTCTATGTCAGAGGAAGGATGGCCCATTCTGCTGAGGCATGCCAGTGTTCCTTGGGAATGGATTTGCTTAGGTTGAATACAGAAACTAGGTTGCCTTGACAGGAATCAATACTTGGGCTCTTGCTTCCAGCCATGGATTCTCATGCTCAACTGGAAAGCCTTCATGTTGAGTGTCTTCCCCAAAACTCTACCCTAGCAGTGCATCCATATGCATTCCCCCCTTACAGACACAGACATGCCACGCGTACCACTGTTTGCTGTTTAAATTGAGTGTGCACGTTCTGATTCCAAGTATTTTCAAGTCTCTTTTTATAAGCCCCAGATTATAATAAACACAGCTTGTATCATCCAGTTTGATCCTTTTTTTTTTTTTTAAGACGTATGCTTATTAATCAACCAGCACTGGGGCTTGGGGGTGGAGGGCAGGGAGAATCATTGACATTCTCCTAAAATGAGAGCACCAGAGTTTTCTGCATCAGTGCCTTTGGCTGCTTTCCTGCAGGTTTAAAGGAGCCTCAGGATGGCGACGTGTGCCGTCTTCTGTGAGATTGTAGCTGAGAGTCACTTTGAAATGATGCTAATAGGCTGAACCAAGCTGGTTTTGCAGAAGCATTTTGTGATGAGAACAGCAAGATAATGTAACCTAAATAGTGTGTAATCCCAGCTAGCGAAAATACTGCACACAGCATGTAGCGCCGGTTGGGAAAGCGTGGAGGGCCGATCTGTGTGCCGCGTCTATGAGACCGGGAAATAAAGTGAGACTTTTACCAAACAGCTCATACTTCATCTCGTCAAGCCTTCGGAGAGTCAGAACTGCCAAGTATGCACCACTTCAGCTTCTCGGTCTTCAGCGCCTGGGGGGGGGGGGGGGGCGGGGAGTTGGGGGAGATGAAGAAAGAGTCGCCTGGCAAGGAAGGCTAATTTCGTCCGGGGGCGGGCAGTGGCGCTCGCGTCCCTCTGGGGACCGCCAGGGGGCGTGAGCCTTGGGCACGTGGCCACCGTCCCGCCCTTCAGCTTTACGGCGGGTAGCTTGGGGACGGAGCTTGGGTGGCAACCGTAGCTAAGCAGCGCGTGGAGGAGAAAACCGTGGCCCTGGAGGCTGGGGAGGTGACAGAGGGGTCCAGGCGGCGGGAGGGCGCGCTCTGTGAGTCGGGGCGGGTCCTGCTGTGGGAGGGCCTGGTGCCCCGCGGGGGTGGGGGGCGCTTGCCCCATCTGGCGGCGGGGGGGGGGGGCGGGGGGGTAGCCCCAGAGCTGGAGGAAAGAGCCCGCCTGGGCGTTGTGCACCCCTGCCACTGACCTCCTATACCGTCCGCCCCTACCCCTGGACCCCAGTATTAAGATCTGCCGGCAAAGTTTGCAGTCAGAGCAGGCCCCGTGCTGGGGGGGGGGGGGGGCTTGGTGTCCTAGCAATGCTTTTTTCAGAGGGAGGAACCAAGCGTCAGAGTCTGCCTCTTTCTAGCGGTGTGACCTGAATAAGTCACTTCAACCCTCAGAGCCTCAAACTCAAGTTTGTCAGAAGGAATAAATGAGAGACCATGTTAGACGGCTGCTAAACTTTATAAACTATTGCCTCCTTTCAAGCACCCTGCAGCAGCTGCGTTGAGCATTTTACATCTGTCATCTCAACCCCAGAATTTAGGGTTCTCACTTTTATTCTGCCTGTGAGCAAATCTGGACTCTGAGGGGTACAGTGACTCGCCCAAGGTCACAGAGCTAGTGAGTGGTAGAACTGGGATTCAGTGCCAGGAGAGGCTGACTGTAAAGCCCAGGATTTTAATCACTAAGCCACTGCTTCTGCCCTTGTTTACATTACTAGGATTGTTGTTAATGCCTGGGTTATCACTTTGCTGCCTGTGGGAATATGAATATATATAAAGTGAGTTAGAGGGCTCTAAAGTTATTCCTAGAAAGATGAGAGGCCTTGACATCAATATGTTTAAAATTTGGGACAGGCTTTCCCAGGTGTATGAAATTCTTTTTTTTTTTTCCTATGGGAAAGGAACAAGAGCTAGTATTGCACACTTCATCAATAGGTTAGTGCACCAGGAAATTAAAATGGGAAACAAAGGGAACTACTGATTGTTATGGTCAAAATTTCTCTAAAGGAAAGTCCACAAAAAATAATGTCGGATGCAGGAGAACATCCACTAGAAGAAACAGAAGAAGATGGGGAAACAGAGATGGAAGAAGATTATAATTATAGAGGAATGGAAAGTATGCAACAGGAATTAAAAGAAGATGACATATTAGTATGGAGAGAGCCTCAGCAGGAGGGGGAGCAGGAGGAGGAAGGAGAGGAGGAAGGGGAAGAGAAGGAAGGAATGGAAGAAGGGGAAGAGGGAGAGGAATGGGAAAAGGAGAGGGGGGAGGAAGAAGGAGAGGAAGAAGGGGAAGAGGCAGAGGAATGGGAAAAGGAGAAGGGGGAGATAGAAGGGAAGGAGGTGGAGGAAGGGGAAAATGAGGGAGAGGTAGGGGAGGAGGAGGAGGAGGAATGGGAAAAGAGGAGAAAGGAAGAAGGAGTGGAGGAGGAAGGGGAAGAGGAAGAAGGGGAAGAGGGAGATGAGGAAGAGGGGGGGAAATGGGAAAAGGAGGGAAAAAAGGAAGAAGGGGAAGAATGGGGAAAGGAGGGGGAGGAGGAGGAGGGGGAAGGGCAGGAGGAAGAAGGAGAGGAGGAAAGGGAACAAGGAGAGGAGGAAGAGGGGGAGGAAAGGGAAGAGGAAGAAGAGAAGGAGGAGGAAGAAGAGGGGAAAGAATATGGGAAGGAGGAGGAGGCTGCAGGAGTACAGGAAGAAACCATGGTGAAGCTCGGAGAAATCACCAAATCCATGGTCAATTTGGAGAGACTTACATCGACTCGCTCCCAGTCAATCATGTCTGGAACTTTCCTAGTAAGTAGTAATTTTAAGTCATTCATTCATTGTCATTAACTGAATACTTACTATCTGCCGGGCTGTGGGGAAAATACAAATAAGATACAATCCATTCTCTTAATCCATTCTCTTAAGGAGCTCTTAAGGTGTGTAGGGAGGCCGATTGATACCCGAACACTGTAGAACAGTATACTAAGTGCAGTGCTTGAGAGATGCAAGGACACTTAACCCAGCTAGGAGGATGGTCAGGGAGAGCTTCCTGGAGGAAGTGTGCAGCAGAACTGATGTAAAGAGCTAGTTGGGGTTCACTGGAGTGTGTTTGTCTTAAAGCAAAGTCTGTGTTGTAACAGTAATGTAGGCTTTCCACAGACTCTCCCTGACGCAGAGCTCACTGTGGTCCAAGAAGTGACTCCGTGACTCGTCCATCCTTGGAGATGATCTGTGCCTCTTAGAAGAATGGTTTTGCTGTGTGGTTCTGCTAGTAGGCCAAGAACAAACCTGGCACACCCATGATTCATGTTGTTTAAGTACAAAATGTCCCAGGCTCCTTTTATAAAACACTCCATGGCTCCAGTGTGAGGCAAACACCAAGGCTGGCTGATCAGGAGCTGAAAGGAGAGTGAAGGAGACAACAAACCACACACACTGTATTTGGAATACAGAAAACCCTTAGTGAGTCAAAGCATTCAATAGGATCAAAGTATTCAGAAACAAGTGAGCTTTTAAGGGACTGGAGCTCAAAACTAAGATTTCTTGATTTGGATCAAACCAGTTCTGAGCAACAACAGATTCATTTCCCTGAAACACAGCCCTCAAGCGAGCCTACAGAGAAAATTGACCAGATGCCCCAAGACGAACTGGGACAAGAAAGGAGAGACTTGGACCTGGGAAAGGAAGAAAAAAGATTATCATCCGTAAGTGAGGAAGAAGAAAAAGAATTCCCGCCCAAAGCAGAGATCCTGGAGAGTTCACTGGTATCCACCAGTGAGGACATTTTGTTCCAAAAGGATTACAGTGCCAATGTTTACCCTTTGGTAAGTGTAACATCCTTTTTAATTTCCTCCAGTGCTTTGAGAGCATGGTGAAATAAGAGAATTTTATGCATTGGGGAAAAAAATATCACCAGAAAGGTCCCTTTTGAACTAATAATAAACCCATATGGTTTTGTTTTATTTTTATCTTTTTAAAGATTTTATTTGTTTATTCATGAGAGACACAGAGAGAGAGAGAGAGAGAGGCAGAGACACAGGCAGAGGGAGGAGCAGGCTCCATGCAGAGATCCCAGGTCTCTAGGACCACGCCCTGGGCTGAAGGTGGGGCTAAACTGCTGGGCCACTGGGGCTGCCCAAACCCATATGTTTTAAAATTCAGTTCAGGGCTCTGGCTGGACATGTGTGACAGGATACAGACAAGAACGCTGCATTTGAGTCCAGTAGTGTTGCTCCGCAGGCAGGAAATTCCTGGACGTGGTGTTGTCTGTTGCACAGCGTGCTGTTCCTTGTGGGAATCTCAAGCTGCAACTCTCCTCCTCTTCCTCCTCCTCCTCTTCCTCTTGCTCTTCTATTCCTTTCCCCTTTCCCTCCTTTTTTCACCTCTTCTGCCTTAATTTGCTTAATACCTTTACAAACTCCTAAAATCATTACGGGCTCCTAAAATTATCCATTCTAAGATGGTCCAGAAAGCTAAAGGTATGGAAAAAGTGAAAGCTGCTGAGAAAAGTACCAGGCGGTCCAAAGGAATCTGCTTTTGCTGCCATGACAATATTCCAGAGCGCCACCATCTTTGAGAAGTACAAATATTATCACGTACCAAGAGGAGGAAGAGGAGAGTGTTTTCCCTTCTTTCTCCATCTGCTACTGAAAATGCTTTCTAGGATTCATCTCTGGTTTTTCCCCTGTAGATTCTGCCTTTGAAAGATTTGTAAATGATTGAGCATAAAACATTTAATGTAGTTCCTGACACAGAGTGAGCACTTGACGAGTGTTAACATCTAGACGATGATGATGATGGTCGTGGTGGTAAGGATGGTAATGATGGTGAGGATGATGGAAAATGCCTAGTGGGAGATGCAGACAACCAACAGCCTCCTTTCTGTAGACTGGGCTTACCCCGAGCTGTGGAGTTCAAGGTCAAAACTTGTGCTTGCTCAGTCTGAAAGGAAGAATAAGTTTTAGAGCCCATGAAGACTTTTGTCTTGTTTAGCCAGCTAACAGGACATCAGGTAATGTCACTAATGAGAGCAAGTGACCTTTGTGCCAGGGTTTGGGTCCCCTTTTAGCCTTGGGCTCACTGCAGAACTTAACTATTCTAGACCACCTCCCTCTGCAAATTTGTTTAGCTCTTTGAGTACACTTCTTTTCTTTTCCTGTTCCTCCATTGTTTTTTCTTTCTGCTAAAATTAATAGATGCTCTTAAAAAAAATTTTTTTAAAGCAGGGGCACCTGGGTGGCTCACTTGGTTAACCATCTGAGCCTTGATGTTGGCTCAGGTCATGATCTCGGGTTCATGAGATCCAGCCAGCCCCGCTGAGTGTGGAGCCTACTTGGGATTCTCTCTGCTCCTCCCCCTGTCTAAAAATAAATAAAAATAAAAAATAAAAAAAATTCAAGCAGATTCCTCTTTTCACACAGGCCATGCCAAATCCATTTCCCTAAAGTGACTGCTGTTACAGTTTAGCATAACTCTATATCTTCCCAGACCTTTCCCTGAGCATCTACAGACTTGGTATCTGTGCGCAGGCACACACACCACGACACACATTAGTTTTTGTTTTCTCCACCAGTAAGATCTTTTGCCGTACTGCAAAATATTTTTCCACTTAATATGTCTTGGAGGATTTTCTGTATTGGTCCTTGTAGATCCACTTCCTTATTTTACATTCAACCGTTTCCCTGTTATTGATGGCCATTTATGTTGCTTCTGATTTGTCCTCACCAGAGGGGCTTCAGCAAGTGTGCTTCTGCATCTCTCTCCTTTCTCTTTGGGGTCCCCTGCCTTATCCCAAATGTCTCCAGCCAAGAAAACAAGGTATCATGCATTTGTGAGAAGGAATATTAAGATTGTCAAGTATAGTGAAGTCTGGTTTTGACATAACGTTTTGTGTTCATGCTTTAGAAGATTGCTGAAAGAGATGGCTGCCACCATGATCATTCACCACGAATGGTAAAACTGGTGCAAAATGCAATTACTACTTCTGTGGTTTCAATTAATGTGAGTGCTGCTTGAGCAAGGATATTCTGTTAGTACTGAGTGAATTACTTACCAAAAAATCTCTAATCACTTAGCCATCACTTTAGCCACTACCACAAGCAATTAATTCACCATAGCTAATTTTCTGAACGGACTGTTTTTTGTTTTTAAGTAATCTCTTACACCCAGTGTGGGGCTACAACACTTGGAGATCAGGAGTCATAGGCTTTACTGACTGAGCCAGCCACACACTGCTAAATGGACTTTTTTTTTGAGCAGTTTAGATTTATAGCAAACTGAACAAAAGTACAGAGTTCCCATATACTCCCTTGTGCCCACCCCTAGATATCCCTTCTATTTTTTTTAAAATTATTCATTCATGATAGTCACACAGAGAGAGAAAGAGAGGCAGAGACACAGGCAGAGGGAGAAGCAGGCTCCACGCACCAGGAACCCGACGTGGGACTCGATCCCGGGTCTCCAGGATCGTGCCCTAGGCCAAAGGCAGGCGCCAAACCGCTGCGCCACCCAGGGATCCCCCCTTCTATTAATATATTGCATTAGTGTGGGGCATTTGTTACAGTTGAAGGACCAATATTGATCATTACTATTAACTAAAGTCCATCATTTACCTTAGGGGTCACTCCTGATGGTGTAATGTTCTCTGGGCTCTAAGGTATAATGAGGTGTGTCCACCATTGCAATGCCCTACAGAGTAGCATCACTGCCTTCAAATCCCTCATGCCCCACTATCCATCCTTCTCTTCACTCCCTCTCTCTCCAGCAATAATTGTGGTTTGTTTGTTTGTTTTACTGTCTCCATAATTTTGTCTTTTCCAGAATGTCATGTGGTTGGAATCATACAGTGTGAAGTCTTTTCAGGTTGGCTCCTTTCACTTAGCAAAATGCATTTAAGATTTCTCCATGTCTTTTCCTGGCTTGCTAGTTCATTTTCTTTTTATTGCTGAATAATACTCCCTTGTATGAATGTACCATGGTTTGCTTATCCGTGATTTTTATAAAAAACTTGGAACCCAAAATATGCATAAGTAAACTGCTATTGGATTCAAAGCAGTGGAGAGATTTATAGTACCTCTAATTTTTCATTTCAGAAAATTTTTATTTTGGATTTATTCCTGGCAGTATGGAATCTTTAATCATACTGAGGGAATTTTGTCTCTTTATGCTTTATTCTTCCAGGGAAAATGGTGTATGAGGTCCACATATTCCTGGCTCAATAACTGCCTTTCTTATGAAATTCCTTAGTGACTGTACTACAACTTGTCCATTCCACATATTTTCATGAAGCAAATTGAATTTCACAATATCATTGCTCACTATGTGTCAGGTACTGAGCAGCTTAGGTCCTAGGGACTAGAAGGATAGGATGTTCTTTCTGTTTACTGTTGTCTTTCTTTTATTTTTTTATTTTTATTTTATTTATTTTTTGATAGTCACAGAGAGAGAGAGAGAGAGGCAGAGACACAGGCAGAGGGAGAAGCAGGCTCCATGCACCGGGAGCCCGATGTGGGATTCGATCCCGGGTCTCCAGGATCGCGCCCTGGGCCAAAGGCAGGCGCCAAACTGCTGCGCCACCCAGGGATCCCTTTCTTTTATTTTTTTAAAGATTTTATTTATCTATTCATGAGAGATACAGAGATAGGCAGAGGGAGAAGCAGGCTCCCTGTAGGGAGCCTGATAAGGGATTCAATCACCAGACCCCGGGATCATGACCTAAACCAAAGGTAGACCACTGAGCCACCCAGGTGTCCCTCTTTTCTCTTTTAAGCAAGGTATTATTCACATAGCATTAAATTCACCCTCCTAAAATATAAAATTGTGATAAAATACACATAAAGTAAAATTTACCATTTTTAGAAAGATTTATTTATTTATTTGAGAGAGAGTATGAGTGTGCATACAGTGGCTGATGGGGAGGGGCAGAGAAAGTCTTTAATAGACTATGTGTGGAGCCTGCCATGGGACTGGATTCCGCAACCTTGAGAACACAACCTGAGCCAAAACCAGAGTCAGTTGCTTATCCAACTGTGCCACCCAGGCGCCCCTAAAATTTACCATCTTAACCATTTTTAAGTGTACAATGTGTAGTAGTAAATACATTTGCATTGTGGTGCAACCAAAGCCTGAAACTCCCTACCCACTGAGCAGTTCCTCATTCCCCAGCCCAGCCCCTGGCACCCACCACTCTACTTTGTATGTCTACGGCTCTGAGTCCTCTAGGGACCTCATATAAGTGGAGTCACATAGTATTTGTCTTGTTGTGACTGGTGAATTTCACATGTTGTCCTCAAGGCTCATCCATGTGGTTGAGTGGCTGGATCTCCTTTTTGAAGACTGAATAATCCTCATATTTTGTTTATCCATTCATCTGTCAAGGGACACTTGGGTTTCTTCTACCTTTTGACTTTGTGAAATATGCTGCTACAAACATGGGTGTACGAGTGTCTCTTTGAGACCCTGCTTTCAGTTCTTTTAGGTGTATACTTGGAAGTATAATTCCTGCATTATATAGTAATTTTGTTTTCAATTTTTTTAGAAATCTCCATGTCGTTTCCCACTACAGCACCATTTCATGTTCCCACCAAGAGTGTACAGGGGTTCCGATTTCTCCACATCCTTGTAAAATTTACCCTTTTAAAGTATATGATTCATTAGTTTTTAGCATGTTTGCAAGGTTGGGCAACCATTACCACTGATTCCAGAACATTTTCATCCCCTACAAAAGAAATCTATATCCCTTAGCAATCATTTCCTACCCATCCCCCTGATCTCCCCAACCCTCCCAACCCCCCCCAAACCTCCCCCTGCAGCCACTGATCTACTTTCTGCCTTTATGGATTTGACTCTTCTGGGCACTTCATAGAGATGGAATCATGCACTGTGTAGTCCTCCATGTCTCTCCTCTTTCACTCAGCATCATGGTTTCAAGGGTCATCCACATGCTAGCATGCTGTTGAGGACCTTCTTGAAGTGATTTCTCTTCTTTGGATCGATGATGTGAATCCTCCTCCTCCAGAGACTGTGCCGGGGTGCCGGGCATCACAGCCCTGGGCTTGGCACAATTAGTATCTCACTGGATTTGTCTTTGTCTTCCAGACCATGACTTGGTCTTTCGGATGGAACAGTTCTCTTCCGGTTTACTATATTCGAGACGAAAACCAGAGAGTTCTTCTTTATGTCTGTGCTCACACTGCAGTCATCTACAATGTTTTCAAGAATACTCAGCACCATCTTCAGGTACGCAAGTTTTTTTTTTTTTTTCGTAACAAAAGAGGCTGTCTTTCACTGGAATGTAGCATTTTCTTTTTTTATTCTACGAACTGACTTCATTATGTCACTATCGTGTTTTCCTACCTCTCTTCTGGACTATAGTAAGTCTTGTCTTTAGAAACACATTTTTAAAAAAGATTTACCTACATATTGTTAGAGAAACAGCGAGAGAGTAAGGGAGTGGAGCAGAGGCAGAGGAAGAGGGAGAAAAAGAGGGAGAGAAACAGAGCCTGAAGTGGGGCTCAATCCCACAACCCTGAGATCGTGACCTGAGCTGAAATTAAGTCAGACACTAATCTGACTGAGCCACACAGGTGCCCCAGAAACACACTGTATTGTTCGTTGTCTCTAATTCTAATCAGAATCAATTTACAAACCACAGCAATTGATTTTTATTTTACAGCAACAGGAATTTAAAGCATTTGTAATTTTTTTTTTACATTTCCCTAAAGATGTGGTCAGGATATATCATGTTGCCGCCACAGAACCATGGGGAACATAAAAGGCTTTAGCATGGATTCAGACCTAATTAATATTTAGAGGGCTTTGCAGGTGCAAAAGGGCTTTGATCCTCATAATTGCGCTGAGAAGTGGGTGGTAATACCTCCATTTTACTAGAAGAAAAAACTGAGGCTCAGAGAGGTTTAGCTGACTTACCCAAGATTGCACTGGTACATGGTGAAGCCAGGTCTTTCTTGAATGTAGGTCCCCTGACATCAAAGTGTTGAGTAGGTTGGTTGTCATCCTATGCCTTCCTCTCCCGTGTCCTCTGTGTTTGCCCTCCCCACACCACTCTGCTTCCTTTATTCCTGATCATTTACCTGACCCACTGTCCTCTTTTCTTGGTGTCTGACTTTTCACTAGTTAACCTAGTAAATAAACGTTCCAGATTACCCTTTTCAATGGGCATATATTTTAATAAGGATCTTCCTCAGTCAATGCCTACGTCAGAAACATCACAAAGGGTTTTTCAAGGAATCCACGCCGTGTGGGTGCAGCTGGAGGTATTTGCTCTTTAGGAGTCCAGAAACATACACAAAAGCAGCACGCAGCCCGTCTTGGATCTTAGTTGAATGTGCAGCACTGAACACAGGGGTAACAACAGAGGGAGATGGGAGCATTTGTGTCTGCAGAGTCGGGAAGGGGTAGGAGCGGGCAGAGGGGCTGAGAAATAGGGACTATGCCAGGCAGGTGTCCAGCCTCCCTCATAGTCACATGGCTAGGAATAGCCTTGACCATTCACCATTCATTCATTCATTCCTTTATTCCACAGATATTTGTCATCACCTCTTTGTTTAGAGTCTGTGTCTGTAGTGGTGAACGAAACAGGTCTGGTCCCCCCCCCCCTTTGTATAGCTTACAATCTCATAAATACATAATTACAAATGGTAACAAGCACTCCAAAGGAAATGTGGGTTGCTGTAGGAGAGAGACCAAGAGTGAGAGATGGACCTCTGACCGGTGGGCTGGCAATGCAGATGTGCCCTTTATGGGGAGATCTGATGGACTGAGGAGAATGAACCAACCAGGGGCAGTTTGGGGAGGAGCATTCTAGCCCAGAGAGCTCCGGGTTTGCAGGCCTGTGCATCGGGCCCAGTATGGCTGGCACTGAGTGAGCAACAGGAGATGAAGAAGGGAGGAAACGGTCTGTTTCCTGGCAGGGAGCAGTGCCATCTTGTTTGTTTTTCCAGGAGATTCCTGAGTTACTGGGAAAGGATTATAGGGGGATGGGAACGAAAGCAGAGACAAGTGAGGAGGCTCTTGCCCCAGAATTGCTCAGTGACCTGATGTGGACACATTTTTAGGGAGATGAAGGGGCTGGGGGCTGGGCAGAAGCCCAACATTTATTCTCAACCTGGGTTCAGAGTTGGGTACATGACTTGACCTGTAGGGAGCCCCTGTCCTTGTGAGTGTGGCTTATCCTTCAGGTATGTTGAGGGAGAGAAAATCTGAAAACCACTGGCTATGGAGAAATGCCAGGGAAGGCCCATAGGAGTGGAATTTTCAGCCAGATGGACCTGGAAGGAGAGCTTTGTTCTCTCTTTGGGGCTCCAGCCTCTCCTACTGTTCTTGATGTTTCAAAGCATTTTCTCTGCATTTCTGCAGGGCCACCTTAATGTGATCTCCTGCCTTTGCATCAGTGAAGATAGGCGGTGGATTGCCACGGCTGACAAGGGGCCCAACTGCCTAATAATTATATGGGATTCCTTCACAGGGTAAGCTTCTTGCAGTCATGTTTTTTCCTACTTCATACAGTGGATCTGCTACTGTGACCAGCAACAAATGAGTAATGCTGGTGTGGACGTTACAGAAACTAGTGATGGGATGCAGGATGAGGGGTGAAGTGGCCTGGGAGGCTGGCCATCTTGTTGCCTTGAGGCCTGATTGAGTGACATTACCTTGGTGAATTTCCCGTTTATAATACTTGGCTCTTTAGACCCAGAGACTTGGTTTGGCAGTGTCCCCGAGTAGATGGGGCTGAGGGAGGTTAACCCACTCTGACCCAGCTTGGAGGCCCAGAAAAGTGAAGTGAGTTTCCTCACCTGCAAAAAAAAAAAAAAAAAAAAGGAGGGCTAATCATACCTACTGTTTTGGTTTCCTTGGGCTGCTCTAAGAAATTACCACACACCGAGGGACTTAAAAAATAGAAAGTTGGGCAGCCCAGGTGGCTCAGCAGTTTAGCGCCACCTTCAGTCCAGGGCATGATCCTGGAGACCCGGGATCGAGTCCCACGTCGGGCTCCCTGCATGAGCCTGCTTCTCCCTCTGCCTGTGTCTCTGCCTCTCTCTCTGTGTCTCTCATGAATAAATAAATAAATAAAATCTTAAAAAAAAACAAAACAGAAAGTTATGCCACAGTTCACGAGGCTGGAAGTCTGAAATCAGGATGCCCAAAGGGGTGGTTCCTTCTGGGGCTGTGAGGGAACCTATTCCAGGCCTCTCCTACCTGCTGGTGGTGGCTGGCAGCCCTTGGCATTCCTTAGCTGGTAGACTAATCACTCTAGTCTCTGCCTCTGTCTTCAGGTGGCATTGTCCCCTGTGTGTCTCTTTGTGTCTTCTCTTCTGTGAGTTCAGTAGTCATTGGATTTAGGATCCATCCTAATCCAGCATGACTTCTTCTGAACTAAGTACATCTGCAAAGACCCTATTCCCATATAACACTCACATTCTGAGGCTCTGGGTGGACATGACTTTTGAGAAGGCCCTCAATTCACTACATTTACTTCACAGGACTATCATGAAGAACAGTAAAGCACAGTACACGGCCCATGATAGATGCTCATATGTGAGTTTTCTTTCTCAATTCCTGGTCCTAGAGGCAGAGTGCAGTGCTAGGTTAATTGATAAGATTGTAAGGCCCCAGTTCAGTTGCGGGGGACACTGACATGGGGGATGGATGAGTCCAGTAGGACACAATTAGGAAGAAGTTGTGTTTAATGCTCAGGTATTCTGGAAATTTATGTTGGATATTCTAAGATACAGGTCCTCCAGGTGACTGGTGATCTCCATAGGGCCATGTTTCCTAATCTTGGTCCTTATCTTACTGGACATCTCAGTAGCATTTGACACCTTTCATTTCCTTGGCTTCTCTGATACCACATCCCCTTGGTTTTCATCTGACTTCTGAGACTCTGCTTCCTGTGGCCTGAGCTGGTGAGGACCTGGTTGGTACTATTATCCAACCAGGAGGGAGCAGACCTGGGTTTTTTTTGTTTTTTTTTTTTTAATTTTTTTATTTATTTACGATAGTAATACAGAGAGAGAGAAAGGCAGAGACACAGGCAGAGGGAGAAGCAGGCTCCATGCACTGGGAGCCCGACGTGGGATTCGATCCCGGGTCTCCAGGATCACGCCCTGAGCCAAAGGCAGGCACCAAACCAAAGGCAGGCACCAAACCGCTGCGCCACCCAGGGATCCCTAGACCTGGGGTTTTAAGCCACATCTCAGTAATCACCTCGTATTTCATCTTTTCACAAATGAGGAAGCTGCTGGAGAATATTCTACCTGGATGCCCCATGTGTATCTCCTGCTAAAATGTCTCAAAGCCCTGTTGCATTTCCTCCCAGATGCCTTCTGAACCCACCCCTGGTGCCCCTGCCCATCTTCTCTCACCTGGGCCCTCACCTGACAGGGCTCCTCCTCTGCAACTTCACTCTGCCGCCCAACCCCCAGGATGTTGATTTTGTTTTATTATAGTGGAATATACATCACAAAATTGACCATCTTCACAATTTTTTTTCCATCTTCACAATTTTTAAGAAGACTTATTTATTTATTTGAGAGAGCGAGCTAGAGACCATGAGTGGGAGGATGAGCAGAGGGAGCGAGAATCCTCCAGCAGACTCCTTGCTGAGCACAGAGCCCAATGTAGGGCTCAATCCCAGGACCCTGAGATCATGACCTGAGCCAAAACCAAGAGCCAGCCACTTTTCTGACTGAGCCACCAGGCGCCCCATCTCCACGATCTTTAAGCGTATAATTCAGTGGCATTAATTACATTCATGATGTTGTACAACCATCGGCACTATTTCCAGAACATTTTTATCACCCCCAAACAGAAACTCTGTGCCAGTAAGCTCCCTGTTCTCCCTCCCCTGGGCCCCTTCTCTAATTTCTGTCTTTGTAGATGCCTATTGTTTTATGTGTGTGGAGTTGTATGTGACTTTTTGTGCCTGGCTCTTCTCTCAGCATGGTGTTTTCAGAGTACTCCCGTGTTGTGGCATGAAACAGTGCTTCCTTTCTTTTCAAGATTCCATTGCACGGATAGACCAACTTTGTTTATCCATCTGTTGATTTTTAAAAATCTTTTAACTGAAAGCTAATATCTCCTCTGGCTACCACCACCAATCTTCGTCTTCTTCCTAGAGGTAGTTCATTTGGTATGTTTCCTTCCAGAACATTTGCTGTTGTCTTAAACACAGGTACATGGACATCATCATGTACAACCACATAGTTTTTCTCCATGGCATTTTGAATGTGATCTTCTCCCAAACCCAAAATCTGATTATGTTGCTTCCCTGCTTAACACCCTTCAGAGGCTGCCTGTCATCAACCTAGCCTGTGTTAGAGGGAGTACACATCTTGCATCATAGCCGCGGGAACATGTCCCCGAGAAAGTGAGACACACACACATACACACACATACCATACTGCCTAGCTGCAGCTGTGGCTGTCTTATGCTTTCAGCTGCAAGACTTACCCATGAGGGAAAGTTAATATATCCTGTGACAGGAAGTCTATAAGCAGGAAGAGTGGGCCCCTCACGTGTGTTCCTTCTCTGACACTGTTGCTTATATCTCTCCTTCTCCAGGCACAGGTGGCCCCCATATAAAGTGTTTATTCTTTGCTTCTTTCTTGCTTGTGAAGCTGTCTCCCCTACCAGACTGGGGATGACACTGTCAGTGATTTTTCTTTTTTTAATTACAAATTACAGTGCATCTGTGGTTAACAATTCAACATGTTGATATGAGTTTTATGATACAGCAAATGATGACTTTGGGATCCAGAAAAGATTATTTGGTTTTAGAATTAACATTCACTTTCAAGTTATAAACTAACAAAGATAGTTTTTCCTTAAGCTTTTCATTCAACTTATAAATCTTACTTCTTTTATAAATCTAGCATATTTTTGCAATTGCCTTTAAGGGGGTTTTGAATAATGTTTGGCCCCACTTACAAATTTGATTATTAATTCATTTAAAACATTTTTAAACTTCACTTAGAAATTGAATATATTTGGTTTTATCTTTAAGTTCTTGAGTAGTCTGATTAAAAAATAAACCCTTCACCCATACTTAAGTAATTCTTGTAAATCTAATAAATTAGACATAACTGTGGCAAATCTTAAGTTCTCATAAGTATTCTAATATTGTTTATAAACCAATGCAATTTGAAATTAAAATTACAAGTCTAAATTAAGTACAGGCTTTAAATTAGAATCACAAATTGAATCTATCAGAGGCTCTGATATGTTAAATTCTCTTAAACATCACCCATTCCTAAACAAAATAAACAAATTCTCTTTCCACCAGTACGTTTATAGTACAAGCCCAACTGACATCATCATCTTTATATTTAATTCTGAATAGCCACAGGGATAAGATGCTTTTCCCAGGACACCTGGGTAGTTCAGCAGTTAAGCATCTGCCTTCAGCTCAGGGCATGATCCTGGAGTCCTGGGATTGAATCCCACATCGGGCTCCCTGCATGGAGCCTCCTTTTCCCTCTACCTATGTCTCTGCGTCTGTCTCTCTCTGTGTTTCTCTCTGGGCCCAGCCAGGTATGGCCCTGAAGTGACATGTTTGCTATAACAAGGGCTCCATAATGAAAAACAGTGTTCCTGGATTATGTTCCTGGATTATGACTACTACCTGCTCTTTACCTCCAGTGTAGGTCAGGGACTCCCTCCCACCCCATGCTACTGTTCACTCACTTCCTTGCTTCTGCCATCTCCTGAATTTCTTTAGCTCTCTTAGATATTTAAATATCTAATTTAGGGGCAGCTGGGTGGCTTAGTGGTTGAGCGTCTGCCTTTGGCGCAGGTCGTGATCCTGGAGTCCTGGGATCAAGTCCTGCATCGGGCTCTCTGCAGGAGCCTGTTTCTCCCTCTGCCTGTGTCTCTGTGTCTCTCATGAATAAATTAATAAAATCTTTATTTATTTATTTATTTATTTATTTTAAGTGTTTTTTTTTTAATTTTTATTTATTTATGATAGTCACACAGAGAGAGAGAGAGAGAGAGGCAGAGACACAGGCAGAGGGAGAAGCAGGCTTCATGCACCGGGAGCCCGACGTGGGATTCGATCCCGGGTCTCCAGGATCGCGCCCTGGGCCAAAGGCAGGCGCCAAACCGCTGCGCCACCCAGGGATCCCTAATAAAATCTTTTAGAAAATTAATTCTGCATGTGACAAGGCTTTGCCTGCTTCTTACAGTTCGAGTCTTGCCAGTAACAAGTACAGAAGTAATGAAGAGAGGGGCTGAGTGGTTCAGTCAGTTAAGCATCTGTCTGCCTTTGGCTCAGATCATGATCCTGGGGTCCTGGGATTGAGCCCCATACTGGCTCCCTGCTCAGTGGGAGTCTACTTCTCCTTCTGCCCCTCACTTCACTCTTGCTCTTTCTCTCTCAAATAAATAAATAAAAATCTTAAAAAAAAAAAAAAAGAAGTGCATGAGGACAAAAAAGTGAAAGTCCCTCTCCACCCAAACACATCTCCACAGTCACCTTAGCTTACTTTGGAGTCCATTCCTCTAGCCTCTTCTCTGCACAGAAATGTGTGCACTTTCTTTCCTTCATCCAGGATGATGCTACATACACTCTTTTGTAATTTGCTTTTTTCACAAAATTTTGGTCACCTTCCAATATCTTCCTCATTCTTTTTGAAAGTAGCATAGTTTTTCGTTATATGGTTATGTTCTAATATTTTTTAACATCTCTCACATCCATGGATATTTGTGTTGTTTCCAGATTTTTTTGCCATTAAAGCAGTTCTACAAAAACATGAATTAATATTTATCTGTTTATTTTTGCTATTATTTTTCTGGGAACAAGCTGTAGAAGAGGAATTGTTGGGTCATAGGGTATATACATTTACAATTTTGATTGATGTAGCTAAGTTGCTGTCTAGAAAGCTTGTGCTTATTTACATTCCCACTTAGGTAGGAGGGTGCTCATTTTCCTAAGAGCTTGGGTATTGTCCTAGGAGTCTTTTTTCATATTTCTGTCCTTTGTGCCTGGCACCGAATCAGCGCTCAATAATGAGTGACACTAGACTTCACGAAGACAACAAATAGCCTATTTGCATGATGGCAAGTTAATTTTGTTTTTTTAAATTGAGGTAAAATTTACATAACATACAATTCACCATTATAAAGTGTGCATTCAATGGCATTTAGCACAGTTACAGTGTTATGTGATCCCCACCTATAGCTAATTCCAAAATACTTTTTCTTTAAAAGATTTTAAGTAATCTCTACACCCAACATAACATCGGGCCTGAACTCACAACCCTGAGATCAGAAGTCACATACTCCACTGACTGATCCATCTAGGCACTCCTACTTCCAAAATATTTTCAACTCCCCAAAAGGAAAATCTGAAACCATCAGCCACCATTCTCATTCCCTCCTCCCCCATCCCCTAGCAGCCTCCAATCTGCTTTCTATCCCTGCGAATTTTCTAATTATGGACACTTCATTAAAAAAATATTTTATTTGTTTATTTGAGAGAAAGAGAGAAAGGAGCAGGGGTGGGGGCAGAGGGAGAAGCAGACTCCCTGCTGAGCAGGGAGCCTGATGTGGGGATCCATCCTGAGACTCCAGGATCATGACCTGAGCCAAAGGCAAATGCTTCACCAACTAAGCCACCCAGCCACCTCAAACTCTGGACATTTCATACCAATGGACTCAGACACAGGCTCCTTTCACTTCATGTGATGTTTTCAGGGTTCACCCATGGCAGAGTAGCTTTCACTGCCTATTCCTTTCTATGGCTGAATCATAGTCCATCATATGGATGGACCACATTTGGTTCCTCCATAACTGTGATGCTTTTGAAGTGAGTCCCTCTGGGAAGCATGGAGACCTCAGCAAACAGTTGTTCCCCTGGCCTGTTTTGCAGCATTCCTGTGCACACAATATTTGACAGCTGTCCAGAAGGCAATGGCATTGGGTCCATAGCCATCACCCGGGACGCCAAGTATCTGGCAACCATCTCAGATGCTGAAATCCAGGTACAGGGCCCTTGGAATTGGCCTCAGCGGGCTGGCCAGCCTGTCAGGTGTGTCCCAGTGAGCAGCTCTGCTCTGGCCACGTGGCATCTGTGATGCTCTCAGGGAATGACCAGACCCCTTGGCACATTGGTGGGAGTTCTCTGCCTGGAGCTTTGCTTACAGTGCTGTGCTCCATTAGCTGAAGTTACAGGGTTACCACGAGAGGTGTAGGGGACTTCAGCAGCCTTCAGAAACCTTCTTCTTATCCTCCTCTGTCTGCTGTCACTCACAGAAAGTTTGCATCTGGAGGTGGACCTTAGCAGTGGAAACGCCAGCGTGTACTCTTGACCTTCCCAAAGAGTATGGCTTTCAGGTGAGCTCAATTTGAGTCTGTAAAGTGATGGTGTACAGTTATACTGAGCCCAGGTCAAAACCTACTTTTGGCTTTACTGGAGTTTTGTTATGGTGCTCTAGCACTTGTTAAACCGCTGAGCCACCGGGGCTGCCCCCTCTAGCACTTGTTAAAAAACATTTTCATATCCATGATTTCATTTTTATTTTTGATGATAGTTAGCAATTTTTTGAGCATTTATTTGCCAGATTCTGCTAAGTTCTTTATATACAGTATCTCACACAATCCATGCAAACATGTTGGGAAGGAGTTATTTAGTAACATCTATGGAATGCTATTAATTACAGATAATTTGTCTGAAGTCAGAGGCCAGCAGCCTTTCTTATTCTGGAAGTATGCTCTTAACTGTTCCTAATATCTGGAAGTTATTAGTCCCAGTTTGCTTGAAGTTACTTGCCAAGGATACCCACAAAGTTTACTCTGCTGTTCTGCATCGTCTTATTCATTCTTGCATCCTCATTCATCATTCGCTTGCTGAGTACCTACTCATGTGCTAAGACACTATGGAAAGTACATACCTGGATGCTGGACCTAGAACCCAGTCAGAGGGTCTGGGTGATTGGGCTCAGCCAATCATAAAGCTCTACAGCTTTATGTCCATGTCTCTTCTGGCCCCCAGCATTTCTCTAGGTCTCTGAAAAAAATTTCCTTACGGCTTTGTAAGCTGAGCTGATAGAATAGCCACCAGCCATAGTAGGTTTTTCTATTGCTGCCAAAAGCTCCTCTGGGATTTTGATAGAGATTGCATTGAATCTACGATCACTTGGGATAGTTGTCCTCTTAACAATCCATGGGCACAGGATGTCTTTCCATATACTTATGTCTTCTTGAATTTCCTTCAGCAGTGTTTTATAGTTTGCAGTGTACAATCTTTCACCCAAGATTTTATTCCTAGGTATTTTTATGCTATTGTAAGTAGATTCGTGTTCTTAATTTCCTTCTCAGATTGTTTATTGCTAATATATAGAAACTCAACTGATTTTTGTGTGATTTTGCACCATGAAACTTTGCTGAATACATGTGGCTACTTAGATTTGAATAGATTGAAATAAGATAAAACTACAAATTCATTTCCTCAGCATCTCTACATTTCAGGTACTCACTAGCCACCTGTGACTGACTGCGGCCATGTTTGACAGCACAGATGAGTGAACATCTCCATCATAACAGAAAGTGCTGTTAGCACTGCATATGCCCCACATCTGGAAGGACTCTGCCATTAGTGTGCTCTGTGCTCCTGCCCACCCAATTGAGCAGGTTTCTTTGATCTGGCATGGAGTCACAAATGACAACTGAGGGATCCCTGGGTGGCGCAGCGGTTTAGCGCCTGCCTTTGGCCCAGGGCGCTATCCTGGAGACCCGGGATCGAATCCCACGTCGGGCTCCCGGTGCATGGAGCCTGCTTCTCCCTCTGCCTATGTCTCTGCCTCTCTCTCTCTCTCTGTAACTGTCATAAATAAAAAAAAAACAAAAAACAAAAAACAAATGACAACTGAGCTTTCAGCATTAACTGGCTTTAGTGCTAGTAGGTTGTCTGTTTTGCTTCTAGAGACACTTATCTCACACCTTCTCCTCATACCTCCCCAGTCCTTCCTCTTACTCTCAGCAGATGACCTCTCATTTTGCATTGGGGGAATGGAGGCCATCAGATACAAACACTGGCCTGTTCTCATTCCCAGGCCTACAGCTTGCTTTCAACCTCCCCACCTTCTCTTTCCCCTCTAATTATGAGAGAACCAGTGCACTAGATCCCATCCCTCTCACACACTCAAGGCCCTCTCCTGCAGTGACCAGCCTATTCCTCTAATGGATGATTATCCCCTCAGCAAGTACACATGCTTTAGCTTCACCTATCTTTAGAGATCGCCATTGATGGGCCATCGTCCAGCTCTTGCCCCCTGTGCCTCTTCACAGTAATATGTCTCTGAAGAGCCATTTGCTTTCTTACTTTGTCATCTTTCTTTTTCTTTTTTTTTTTTTAAATTTTTTTATTTTTATTATTATTATTTATTTATGATAGTCACAGAGAGAGAGAGAGGCAGAGACACAGGCAGAGGGAGAAGCAGGCTCCATGCACCGGAAGCCCGATGTGGGACTCGATCCCGGGTCTCCAGGATCGCGCCCTGGGCCAAAGGCAGGCGCCAAACCGCTGCGCCACCCAGGGATCCCACTTTGTCATCTTTCTTTTACTTTTTTGCATTTGCTTTCTTACTTTGTCATCTTTCTTTTACTTTTTTGTGCACAAGATATTTGATCTCTTTATGTTGTCATTGCTAAATAAGGCATACATGCAAAATGTGTACATTTTAAGGAAGGAAACAAAATGTACCTGTGTACTTACTGCTGGGTCAAGAAAGAACATAACCCTTTGTTCCCCTTCCCCAATCTCATCCTTAGCCTTGCTTCCTAAAATTAGTGTCCCAGATTTTGTGTTACACATTCCCTTGCTTTCCTTTATATTTTTTTTCCAGCAATGCATGTATCCCTCAGTACTCTCCTTTTTTTTTTTTAAAGACTTTATTTATTTATTCATAGACACACACAGAGAGAGAGGCAGAGACACAGGCAGAAGGAGAAGCAGGCTCCATGCAGGGAGCCCGACGTGGGACTCGATCCCGGATCTGCAGGATCACAACCCAGGCTGCAAACCGCTGCGCCACGGGGCTGCCCTTTTTTTTTTTTTTTTTTTTTTAAGAAAGAGAGTATATGTGCACGAGTGGGAGAGGCCAAGGGAGAGGGAGAGAGACTCTCAAGCAGACTCCATGCTGAGTGCAAAGCCTGATGTAGGGCTTGATCTCACAACCCTGATATCATGACCTGAGCCAAAATCAGGAGTTGGATGCTTAACCAACTGAGCCACCCAGGTGCCACTCCTTCAGTACTATCCTATTTTGTTCTAACTGTTTTGTTTGATACATATTTGGAATCATAACTGCTTCATCTTCTCTACCTTGTTTTTGAGATACATCCACGTTGATTATTGAGCTAGAATTCATTAATTTTCATTGCTATATAGTCTCTCCTTGTTTGAGTACAATACAGCTCATTTATCTATCCTACTGATGATGAACATTTTGATTCTTTTGCTCTGCCTTCTACCCCCCCCCCATGGCTTTACCAAATCTGTGCTTATCACAGTCACTGGTGTTTCCAAGTCAAATGAGCACTATTAAATCAGTAGTACCTCTCCCAACTGGGGGTTCAAGACACCTTTTCTGCTGGCTCATTGATCTTTCCTGGGCTCCTTTTGTGAGCTCTTCCTCTTTCATTGCACACCTTTTAAATATGGGCAGTCCTCAGGGTTTAGTTATAGGAGTTCCTCTTCCTGCTATACCTTCTTCCTGGGTATTCTTATCCATTCCTGTGACTTTTAAGTGTACTCCCAAGAAGCATCCTGAAATCCTACTTCCTCTCTCTGTTTTCACTGCCACCACATCTGCCTGTGTGACATCCTCCCAGCTGATGTGTTCACTCTTGTCACAAAGGACCTTCCTGCTGTAGTTAGAGCAATAATTCTCAAACAAGCAAAACAGATTATATCACTCTCTCGAAGTCTTTCAATGAATTTCCATTATAATGGGAGTAAACCTAAACCCCTCCGCCCATGTCCCAACATTTACCCTCCTGTTTATTGTTTATTAGTTTGCATACTCCAGAATTTTACAGAAATTGACTCCTTTTGTGGAGGGCTCTGGCTTCTTTCACTCAATTTAATTTTGAGATTCATCCATGTTGTTGCATGTATCAGTTGCTTATTACCTTATATTATTCTTTATGTTTCCTTTATAAAGTTAATGCTGAATAGTCGTACATTGAGTGGATATGTCACAATTTGTTTATTCACTATTAAAAAGACATTGGTACTGTTCCCTGTTTGTGGCTGTTGAAAGTTCATGCACCAATCTTTGTAGGGATATATGTTCTTATTTCTCTTGGTAATTATCTTTGCTTTTGAAGGCTATTTTCCCAAACTATAGGACTGTAGGTTGGTAGTTATCTTATTTCATACTTTGAACATATTCCATTGTCTTCAGACTTAACACCATTTCTGTTCAGATGTCAACTATCAATCTTACTGTTTCCTCTTTTGAAAGTTATGTATTTTTTCCCTCCCACCCCATTCTGACTACTTTTAAGATTTTCTGTTGGTTTTTAGCAGTTTTTGTTGGTGTGTCTGTATGTATATGGGTATATTGTTGATTTTTTAAAAACCCAAAACTGGGTACCTGGCTGACTCAATCAGTGGAGCACATGACTCTGGATCTTGGGTCTTGCCTTTGAGCCCCACATTGGGTATAGAGATTACTTACGAAAAAGGGTAAATAAGTAAAAATTAAAAGTTTTTTAAAAAACCGAAACATGTATTTTGGGGTTTTTTGAACTTGGGATGTCATGTCTTTCCTTAGTTTTGGAAAATCCTTCACCACTACCTTTCAAACATTACTTCTACCATATTTATTTCTTTCCTCTCTGTACTACAATTATGCATACATTAGATCCTTCTTGTCCTAAATGTCTTATATTGTCTTTTTTTTAAAGATTTTATTTATTCATAGAGACACACACACACACAGAGAGAGAGAGAGAGAGAGAGAGAGGGAGGGAGGGAGAAGCAGGCTCCACACAGGGAGCCTGACGTGGGACTGGATCCTAGGTCTCCAGGATCACACCCCAGTCTGCAGGTGGCGCCAAACCGCTGCGCCACCAGGGCTGCCCTCTTAAATTGTCTTGTCCATAGTTTCTGTTCTTTTTGTCTTTATCCTTCAGTTTGGATATTTTCTCCTATAGTTTATCTTCCTTCTCTACTGACTAATCATTTCTTTGGCTATATTAAATTTTCTGTTAAATCCTATTCTGAGGGTTTTTTAAAATCAATTTTTTCAGATCTAGAATTTCCATTTGATTCTTTTTAAAAATAGAATGATCTGCTGAGATTACTCGTCTTGCCCTCTATTTTCTTGCACATACTGACCATAGATAGTTATTGTCAAGTTGGGGTGTGTCGATGTTACAACCGCATCTCCCGATGTCTCTTTCTGCTAATTGCTTTCCCCCTCTGTTGTCCATCATTTGGATATGTCTCTTTCATGTGCCTGGTTATATTTTATTGAATGCCCAACATTGTGCTTTTAAAAGTATAGAAATAATTTGAGGTTCAGGATGATAACTTCCTCCAAGGAAGACTTACTATTGCTTCTTATCAAATCACGGGTTGTGGTGATTTGAGGTTGGTTTCCAGCTTTTGTGAGAGCTTGTCCACGCACTTGCTTTCATCACTTTTTCATCACCCCTCCCTGCCCCCCAGGCCTTTGAGCTGCCCTGGAATTACTTCTCAAACATTGGCATTGGTCCTTTACATTCCTGGAGTAGGCAAGGACTAGGCAATGGGGTGGAAGTGGCAGGAATGGAACTTCAGACATCTTTCTGGAACCCGTCTTCCAGGGCTGCCTTCCAAAGCCCCTCCCATCCACACACCATGGCAGGGCATAGGTGAAGCCTCCCCAGGAATCTCCACTGTGTTGTTGCTGTTGTTTACCTTCTGTATTTTGTGGTTTCCTCACTTCCATAGGGTTGATTTTTGGGAAGGGAGCTAGGCATCCCATGCTATTCACCATCTTGGAAGGAATCAGAAACTCTTTCCAGTATTTGGCATTCATTCCAAGTTCCCTTGTGGCCTTGTCAAATTTAGAAATGTTTATGCAGCAGTTTTTGTCCAAAAGGACACAGTAAAGGTTATTAGTGAATTTTGTGCTACTTTTGCTTATTCCAATTTATAGATGAAAAATTATAATAAATAAGACTAAATAAGAAACAGAACACATTTGAAACCATTAATTTAACACTCAGTGTTTATATTCCTTTTTTTAGTGTTTATATTCCTAATGCTTATAAAATGCTATGTCTTTTCTGGTTTATATTTCTACTCAGCTCTTTATTATAGTAAAAATATTATTTATTTTTAACGTTTAGCTTAGCCAGAGAGAAACAGAAAATTTATTGTAATGTAATATATTTCCATACTTTATATTTCAGAACTACCTTACTTTTAATCCAACAAATAATAAAGAATTGGTGAGCAATAGTAAAACACAGGCAATTTATTATTTGTGGGTAAGTAGAAATATTTTGATTTGTCTTATTTTTTTTTTAATTTTTATTTATTTATGATAGTCACAGAGAGAGAGAGAGGCAGAGACATAGGCAGAGGGAGAAGCAGGCTCCATGCACCGGGAGCCCGACGTGGGATTCGATCCCGGGTCTCCAGGATCGCGCCCTGGGCCAAAGGCAGGCACCAAACCGCTGCGCCACCCAGGGATCCCTTGATTTGTCTTAAATGTAGGGACAAGTATATGTTCATTCCCTGAGTACAGATGTTTTGGCAATGTAGTAATATAGCATCTACTTAGGAAGCAATAAATATGTATTAAAATGTTTTGATTTAATTATAGCATTTATTTTAGTCTCATTGGAAATTAGTATATTAAATCAGAAGCAGATAATTTAAATTCCATTTAGTTTTTTTTAAGTAATGAGGCTAATATTTATTTGAATGTATTTAACAGGTCTAAAATACAGGGTTTTACAAGATCTTGGCTTTTATCCCCTTTTAGAAAGGGATTAGCAAACAGATCAGCAATATATATACTGACACAGGGTGGAAATCAGGAGATTAAAAAAACATCAAAAGTTAAACATAAAATTACCATATGACCCAGCAATTCGTAAATCCAAAAGAATTTAAAACAGGCATTCAAATACTTACATACAAATGTTCATAGCAGCAGCATTATTTGTAATAACCAAAAGGTAGAAGCAAGCCAAATACCCATCAACTAATGAATGAATAAACAAAATGTGGTGCCTCCATGCAATGGAATATGACTCAACCATAAAAAGAATGAGGCACCAACACCTGCTACATGGATGAGCCTCATAAACATCATGGCCAATGAAAGAAGCCAGACACAATAAGCCACATGCTCCATGATTCCATTGATATGAAACCCAGGCAGCAAAGTACAGATTGGTGGTTGTCTAGGGCTGGGGGAGGGGCACGAATGATGGCTTAATGGAGAGGGGCTTCCTTTTGGGGTAATGAAAATGTCTGGAACTAAACAGAAGTGATGGTTGTGCAATATTATTAATGTATGAAATGTCACTGAATTGTACACTCTAAAATGATTAATGGTTGGGGGTACCTGGCTGACTCAGCTGGTGGAGCATGTGACTCTTAGTCTCGGAGTGTGAGTTCAAGCCCCACCCAAGTTGGGTGTAGAGATTACTTAAAAATAAAATCTTTAAAAAGAAAATAAAATGATTAATGGTTAATTTTATGTTATGTGAATTTTACCTCAATGAAAAATGCAAAGCAAGAACAAAAACACTGATCCAATCACTAATTTTCAGGGGTAGTCCTTATTTCTGGTACTGTAGCTTTTAATGCCTTATAAATGTAGCAATCAGATTTGCGTTAACTACCATTTAAAGTCACAATCATTTGTGGCATTTTTTTTTTATGTACTTGCTTTTCTTTCGAATGTTTTCAGATGTTCCTGGAAGCAGTGGGTTCTCTTACTTGTAGAAATTGCAAAGCTCTGACCCTGTTTAGATTAATTTGTTTTGATTTTGCGGTTATGTTCTACTTTTGGAAAACCAAGTCTTTTTTTAGTAGTAACTATTTTTTCTGTACTTATCAGTATGAAGAGAGAGATATACTTGCTCACAGTGCCCCATGTTTAACAGAAAAAGTGAGTATGCCTATTGCATTTTTGTGTGTCAGATTTTGTGGAGAGTAAATATGTATGTGTAAGCTTACTCACTTTGAGCTACTCTGTATATTTTGATATTAAATCATTGGGAAATCATTTGACATTTTTACTTGGGTCCCTTACCATATTGAATTGTCAGCTGAAAATAATAGAACCATTGTTCAAAATAAAATATTATGGAAAAGGAAGTTGACTACCCTGAGAAAATATTCAAAAAAGTGATGGCTTTACTAATGTATGTGTGCATATAACAAAGAATGAAAATTAGTTTGGAGTGATGTAGTAAATAGTTGAACACAAGTGGATCTTTTTAGGCTACCCAATTTTCAAAGTAATAACATGATTTTGGGTATTTAATGTTTTAGAGCTGGTTGAAAGACAGTGAGGCAGGTGTTGGAGGCAAGAGTTTATCTTGCCTGGTTGCCTGGAGCTGTCACATCTGATGTGGATCTCGGGTCGTCTCCTGCAGCATTTTCTGCATTTGACACCCATGTAGTTTGCCTTCAGTGGTGGTTTCTTCTGCTTCCTTCCTTCACTCTTGGTATGATTTATAGAAATTTCTTTTTAAGAGGATATGCCAAAAAAAAAAAAAGATGAGAGAGGTGAATATAAAAAGATTATTCTATCTGCAAACTCTTTTTCATAAATCAAAGTTATCAAAAAAATAAAGTCAATTCTCATTATTTGTGGCAGTTATGTTTCATAAAATCCCCACAGACCTCAGTTAGTGAATACAAAATCATTGTTCCTAGGAGAATCCTTGTTCCTAGGATTAGGTTCCTATCAGCCTCTGGTCATAACAGTTTCACTAGGAGATAGATATATAACCTTGATTTCTGTATGTTTTTGTTTGAAGACATCATATTTAATACATAATATTGATTTATTAACATTGATGCACAGCCAACAGCTCTGGTACACATGTCTGAATGAAGTTTATCTAACTCAGGTATATTCTCTGGAAGATACATCATGGCCTTTTCATGCTTAGGAATGCTAGACAGCATTTCAGTACTGTGTTCGAGGCACCAACAAAAAGCACCTCAAAGAAGTGAGCAACATGGCACTAAGACCCTGAAAAGGACAGGTGTTTACACTTTGAGAGCTGAAGAAGGCAGAGCATGTCCTTGATTGACCTCAGCTAGGAACGTGCACACAGGGAGAGCCAAATTTTTGCCACTCCGCACATCTACATGTCTGCAAACAATCGTGGAAGTGCCACAAGGATTGATATCAGGGTTATAAATAAATTTTAGTGAGTAGGTGAATTTGCAAATACAGAATCCACAAATCAGAATTGACTGCAGTTTGAAATGATGAAAATGCCTTGTATGGAAACAGAGCAGCTCTTAAACCCTGATGCCCTTACTTGACCATTGTTTTACTGACTCTCTTGTGTTCAAGGCAGAAGAGGTAAACCTTAGGGCTTCTCTGTGTAGTTAGAGAACCGGGCAGCAAACTTGCTGTATCACATGACAAATGGAGGAGTTTCTTTGATTTATTCATTCACTAAACATTCACTGAGGGGCTCCCCTAACCACTCTGGGTTCTTTCTACACTTTGTCTCCAAGACATTGCCTAAGAAAGATGGCCCTAGTTCCTTATTGTATGTAGCAGAAATTTCATGAGGAGTCAGGGACATGTCTATGTACAGTGCTTAATTTCTACTGATGGGAAAATTGTTTATGGGAAAAGTTTATAAGACTGGGATAATTATTTTGTGATATCTTACAACTTGAGCATGCTTTTGCTTGCAACAGACATTAGTTTCTTTATCAGTTTCTGAAACCTCAGTCAGAGAAGTTGAACAGGTATCAACAAGTGATTAACCACTTTTCATTTGCTTTAAGCAAACAGTTTAATTAAGCCAGTACATAACCCTTCACTTGCTCCTAGCAAACCTGCAGAGGTTTAGAACTGCCTGCACCACAGCAATCCACGAGGGAGAGATTTCTTAGTAATTTAAAAAAATTTTTAAATCTTTTTCCTGCTATATATCACTGTAATATATGCTGCATTGATAAATGCTTTGTTTTATATTTATTACCAATGGTAACTTATAACCTGTCTTTTGAAATGCAGACATTCAACAAGCTTGTGGGAAAATTTAGCCAGACAGTCTTTCACTTGAATTTAACACAAATACTCTCAGCAACAATGGAAGGGAAGCTGGTTGTCTGGGACATACACCGCCCGTCATCATCTGCCTCCACCTCTGTGGGCTTTCCTCAAATCAAACCTTGTAAATTGGTTCATTTGCAGAAAGAGGGCATCACTGTTCTTACTACAGTTGATAGGTAATTAACTTAATTAAAAAGAAGTGGTCGATGATTACAAAAGTATATTAAAACCCTTTTGGATGTATACATGTATTTTGTAAATCCATAGAATATTTCTGGGGAAATTCATTATTAACTGGGAATGTTTGTTGCCTCTGGGAAGAGAACAGAGAATTAGGATCATGGGTGGGGGTAGATTCACCTCTTCTTATAGTCTCATTTGTACTAATTGGCTTGCTGCTGCTTTTTTTTAAATCATGGGCATGTATTACTTTTTAAAATCCCTTTGTGTTGGTGAAACAAAAAATTACTTGTTTTTTTCCTTCCATACTAATTAGACTTATTTTGCATCTTGAATTTTACATACTTTAATTTTAAGAAAATAATGTGTATAGCTATATTATTTTTTCTGTTTACAAAATAACACCCATTATGAACAGATGAAATACAGCAAAACTTTATAAAGTTCACTGACTTGAGAGGCTGTGGGGGCTCAGAGAGGATCTTTTAAAAGCCTTCATCTCAGACAGAAAAGGATTCACATTCCAGATGCATTCCTTCCTTGCTGAGTGGGGGAAAGAGACTTAACTTTTCTGACTCAATTTTTCCATCTGCAAAATGGGCATGACAACTCTCTCTCTCTCTCTCTCTCTCTCTCTCTCTCTCTCTCAGAGTGATTTCATGAGGATTTTGTAAGACAAGCCATGTAAAACTCACAGCACCTTTTCTGGCACAGGGGAGCTCTAGATGAAATAATCATTATTTGTATGTTAGAGAAGGTCCCAACAATGATGGAGGAAATTGCCTAATGACAAAGACCATGCCCATGTGGTTGGAGTCACTGTGCCATCTGTTTTCTAGGAACACTGCTTTCCTTTTCATTGATTTTAATCCAGGGAGCCGTGAAGTCCTGTCATGGCTTTACAAAGAGAAATGCAAATTGTCCTTACTCAGGGGTATGGAAAAGACAGTAGAGAATTGCAGTTGATGATGAATCAACCTTTAATTAGTTGAGGGTTAGGGCCCATTGAAGACCGGGCCTGAGTTCCCCTCTCTCCATGTTAAATAAAACCCAGCCAGGACCAGGGAGCCCATGAAGGAGCTTGAAAACTACTTGGCCTGTTTTGCTGCTTCTGTCCAGCAGAGGGCAGTGAAAGATGTTCCAGCCAATTACTCTGCCCACCTGCCTTCGTTTATTAATCAGAAACTACATTTAGGGCAGCCTCGGTGGCGCAGCGGTTTAGCGCCGCCTGCAGCCCAGGGCGTGATCCTGGAGACTCTGGATCGAGTACCACATCAGGCTCTCTGTATGATGCCAGCTTCTCCCTCTGCCTGTGTCTCTGCCTCTCTCTCTGCCTCTATGAATAAATAAATAAAATCTTTTAAAAAAAAAAGGAAACTACATTTAATCACTTTGCATATATAAGAGGAAATTCATCCCCCTACTCTCCACCCCCCGCCCCGTGATTAGACTTATGTCAAAGGCTTTAAAAAAAAAAAAGCCCACTTGGGATGGATCTGAAGACTGGAAAGAAAAGCCATTTTGTCACGCAGCACTGTCTTTGGCTGTGATGACTGGACAGGGTTTTACAACGGTTCTGACAGCAGTGTCTTCCAGTAAAGGGGCTTGTGTGCTATTGCCAAGCTGTGTGATTTCGGAGGGCTAGTAGATGGTCTCTGTTGTCATCTGTGGTCTCACGGCAGAGGCTGTAAATCACAGCCCACTGGCACTACACGTGGCTGCTCTGGGAAGGAAGGGATAGGAGAGCCAGTATGTACTTTGCATTAGGTACACCTGGATCCCTGCATAGTGTAGCCACAGGGCCTGATAGGGTTGCCATGGATAAGTATGTCCCCTGCGATATTTGGGACATACTTCTTTTTTGTTTTTTTTTTTTTAAGATTTTTTTATTTATTCTTAGAGACACAGAGAGTGAGAGAGAGGCAGAGACACAGGCAGAGGGAGAAGCAGGCTCCGTGCAGGGAGCCTGACGTGGGACTCGATCCCGGGTCTCCAGGATCACACCCGGGCTGCAGGCAGCTCTAAACCATTGCGCCACTGGGGCTGTTGGGACATACTTCTACAAAAAGATTACTCATTGCTTTTTAAAGATTTTATTTATTTGAGAGAGAGAGGGTATGAGTGAAGTGAGGGGCAGAGGGAGAAGCAGACCTCTTGCTGAGCAGGGAGCCCAACGTGGGGCAAAATCAGCCTCGTAGGACAGTATTAGACAGTTTTAGGCGACGTTTTTACAACACCTGGAGCCCAGAGCCTGAGGCATTATTAGATGGTACTTACTACTGTTAGTTAACAAACGGGTGTACGGGTGTTTTCTCCATTTCAGCTACATTGTCACAGGTGATATTAGAGGTAACATTAAGTTCTACGATCACAACCTGTCCATTGTTAACTGGTACAGCCACTTCAAACTCAGCTCCATAAGGACTCTGTCCTTTTCAAAGACTCCAGCGGCTCCACCCACCGAAAAATCAAACTATCCTCCAGACTGCACTCTAAAAGGTGACTTTTTTATTGTGAGGTAAGTTGTTAATAGATCTAGTCATTCAAATGGCTGAAAAATGATTGATGTCTTCTGTTAGTGGGCATGCAGTGGGATGTTCACCTTGTTCACTTGTTCTGTCCAAGATAGAACTGAATTTCCTCATCAGTCCTTGCAGATGAATCTCCACTTGCTGATTATAATCACTAGTCAGTCATTTTTTTTAATGAAGCATATTTTCGTATTAAGAATCTTTAGCGACTGGAAGCTGGAAGGGCTTCTCTCTGAGCTCTAATCTCTGCTGTGTTTGGCGTCCTTTGCCGTAGCTTGGTGTCTGTCTTTCCTTGAAGCTGAGTTTGTCCTAGCGCTGCGGTTAAAGGCATTTGATAATTAATAGCCATAACATTGCAAGACTGAATTATCTGTGAGTCTGCTTAATTACCCTTGCAGTATTTGCAGGCACATCTGTATGTGTGCACCAAACTCCGTATTTGCATACACAAATGAATATTTGCATGTGCAGATTAGCTAATTGTACAACTGACTGTCCATCTGCATACTTAATGACTCAATTTACATGTAGAAATGTGGGCTTTTTCACTTGCAAATGGAGGCTGTTGGGTATTGGTAGTATATTTTTGGAGATGTTGGGTTAATAATGTCACTAAATTACAGACGACAGAGGCGTTTCATGTGCAATTAGAAGCAGAATAGCTGGCATGCCCCATTCCCTGCAAACACTGATACTGTTTGGTCTCTCCTGGCAAACAGGAATTTTATCATTGGAACATCTGATGCAACAGTGTATCACTTAACGACAGATGGGACCAAACTTGAGAAGTTATTCGTGGAACCCAAGGATGCCATTTGTGCCATCTCCTGCCACCCATATCAACCCCTCATCGCCATTGGGAGTTTCTGTGGGATGATCAAAGTGTGGGATTATGAAAAGAAAAAATACCTTTTCAGCAGGGTCTTCGAGAAGGGGCTTGGTGTCCAGAGTCTAACCTACAATCCTGAAGGTATTTTCATTTTATCAGCCTGTCTTAGGCTCCAAATTGAAAACAGACCCAAATGACTGTGCCATTGGCTGCAACAACTCCAAGAGGTTTCCCTTGACAGCACTCCCCGCCCACCACCCCCAGCAGACTAGATGAGACAGCTTGTCTCTCTGGGCCTTGCAGTTCTCCATGCCTAGTAACATCTGAGCACTCATCCCAGAGCCTCATGCTTTTCAGCTTGTTTCTCCTGCCAGGGTTCTTGTCTGTCCTGTTCGTTGTTCATTGCTGTCTCCTCAGCGCCTAGAACACGGCCTGGCCTAGAGTCGATATTTTTTGAATGAATAAAGTCCTTTTCTAGCATTGTTCTCTGGATTATGATTTCAGGAGTCCTTCTTGGAGCTGGCTTCACTGAGGGGACAGTTTACATTCTTGATGCAATGTCCTTAGAAAACCAAATCCCAGAGCCTTTCAAATATTCCAGAACAAATGTCACTCACATCAGCTTCTCCCATGACTCCCAGTACATGGCAACCGCTGTAAGTGTTTCCACTGAGTGCTGTCCAGTGATCTGAGCAACCTTGTTTATGACCAAAAGGGAGAGAGGGCTGGAGAGGGGGTGGCAGGGATGGGAAGTGACTGCTAATGGATTCGGGGTTCTTTTTGGGGTTGTGAAAATGCTCTAAAATTGTGGTGGAGAGCCAGAGCTCTGAGAATATACTAAAAAAGCATGGTATTGTATGTACACTTTCAAGGTGTGAATTGTGTGCAGTGTGAACAGTGTCCCCACAAAGCCACTATAAAGAGATGAGGGACTCTCACTCGAAATGAGACCAGGCCTCAGAACTTGCAGACTGGGCTTCTGCCCTCCTCACAGCTCATTTCAGTGTGTTGGTTTCTGGACCCCTTTCTTGGTATCCATTCTTTCATCTTTCCCTTTGATTTTTAACAAGATGATATTCTCATTTATCTCAAAGCACAGTCTTCACCCTGGTGTTTTGGATTCTGTTCCTTACCTCCATGACTAGGGCTCTTAAGCTCAGCAAAGATTTTCTGAGACCTTTAACCTCTCCTTTCCAGCCAGCTTTCCTGGTCTGCAGTGTGCTCATCTTGCCTTGGTGTTCGGTGAGAGGGAAGATCCACTGCTTCCTCATCCCTTCTGCTCCCCCACCCCTGTCTGGTCCCTCCCCTCCTGCCCTGGTCTGTATGCTCCAAACCTCCATGCCCCTGCAACTGCTGACTTAGGTGTCGCCTTCCCTTCAGGCTGATCTTGCACACTCTCCTACCAGGTTCACTCTCAGCCATGATGCTCTTTAGAACTCATACCTTTTTCATTTTGTGTCACTGCAAGGACAAAGGTCAAAGAGTCAGGGTTTCAGTTTTCCACACAGAATGAAGTAGGGACAAGAAAGAAGAGTAAGGCCACCAGTGTCAGGTAGAGGCTTTCTACCCACCCACCATTACCTTTGTGGATTATTTACTTTTAACTAATTTTCTCATCTGTAAAATTAGTGTTATTATTTGCTTGGATAGACTAAAATTTCTTTCTGGATAAAATATTCTAAAAGCAACATTAATATGAAAAACTATGGTGATGATTTTTAAGTTACAAAACTTAAAAAGAAATAACTTCTGCTCTTTTGCTTTGATTTAGGATGTGCGTTTCACTGTGGCCGTTTACAAGGTGATAGTAAAAAATGGACACCGGGTCTGGGAATACCTGGCAAGGCTTCGATCTCATCGCAAAAGCATCTGCAGTCTCCTGTTTGGGGTTCAACTGGACAGCAATGAGCCGAGACTGTTAAGCCTTGGGAAAGATAGGCTCTTGGTGAGCTGTTCAGTGTCCATTTACTTTGCCACTGGGGTGCATGTGTTTCATTCTTGTGTCCCTGGTGTCTGGCATAGAACTGGGCCCGTGGTCTGTGTGCTTGTTGACATAAACAAATGTACAATGAGGTAGCATAAACCTCCTTGCATTGACACTTGGTCTCAAGGATGTGCAAACGTAATATTCCTTTCAGTAGAAACTGTACTTGGAATTTTGAATTTGGGTCTTGTCCCTGGCTCGTGATCTGTGGTCCCTTCCTTTCCCATGATGCTGGGCAGCAGTCACAGCTCCTTGTTAGCCACACCACCATGAGGGTCGATCACCAGTACACTGACTGCCACCTGCACCCACACAGCCATTCTGTTTGTCACTTTCAGTCCAGAGTTCAATAAATTACACAGCATAGTCAGCATTTTGTTATAAAATAGGCTTCGTGGTAGATGATTTTGTCCAACTGTAGGCTCATGTCAGTATTCTGAGCACATTTAGTGTGGGCCAGTTAGGCTATCGTGTTCCGTAGGTTAGGTGTATTAAATACATTTTTGACTTAATGATATTTTAAACTTAAAATGGGTTTATTGGAATGTAACCCCGTCATGAAGCAAAAAAGATCTGTATCTATCCATCTTAACTTCCTTTCTTGCTCCCTCCCTTTCTTCCATCCCCTTCTCTCCTTTACAATGGCCGGCCATCCATCCATTCATTATGGTCTGGCTGCCAAACATACATATGGGTGAAATTCAGCAAGCTGCTAATTTATGACTGTCAAGTGCTGAGATTTATATATGAATTAGTTCATATCCTCAAAGAGTTCCCAAGATAATGATAAGGGAAAGAGTATAATATAACTGTGAAAGTTCAGGTTTTGGACTCCGTTGAACCTTAATTTGAATTCTCACCCTACTACTTCTTAGCTCTGTGGCCTTGGGCAAGCCACTGAACCTCTCTGAACATCTGTTTTCTAATCTGTAAATTAGAAACCTCTCTGAACATCTGGTTTCTAATCTGTCATACAACAGTATGACTTGGCAGGGCAGGCATGAGTATTAAGCGGCATCATGTTTTTAGAGCACTTAGCTCATTGTCTTTGCTCAGAAGGAATGCTCCATAATGGCAGCTCATTAGGATTGAGGGTCTAAGCAAGTCTTAGGAGGACCAATGCTGTCTCTCCCAGAATAGGATTATTGGCTGACTTCATTTGGCTCAGTCCTCATGTGTGTCTATCTGGGCTCCTCTGCAGATTGAGTATAATCTTCTTAGGAGCCGCAAAGACAACCTGGAAGTCTTGGACATTCACCGAACCGACCAGGGCAACTATCCCACCTGTATGGTCTGGTACCCACCACTCACCAAGGAACTCTTCCTGCTCGTTTGCAACAGTGGCTACAAAGTGAAACTTTTTAATTCTATCACAAAAATGTGCAGGTAAGCAAGAGGAGCTTCCTGCTGATGTGATGCATAAATCACTTTCTCCACTCCTTGTTTATTTTAAGTCCCAACTTACAGACCTGCGAGCAGCTTGGCTACCTTTGCTATCACTCACTATGCAGAGGAGGAAACCAAGGCACAGAAAAGTTGAGTAATTCTCCCCCAGGGTCACATGGCTGGGAAGTTGCCAGAGGCAGGATGCAAATCCAGAGCCCTTGCTTCTGAGCCCAACATTGCATGGAGATGAGGAACCCAGAGCTTAGTGCCTGAGGCTCAGTGAAGGAACCTGGAAAGTTACTGATACTTTATAAACTCTCCTGTCTTTCCCTATGAATAAAAAAATATTTTTTTCTTTCTTTTTTAAAAAAGATTTTATTTATTCATGAGAGACATACAGAGAGAGGCAGAAACATAAGCAGAGGGAGAGGGAGGCTCCCCTGTGGGGAGCCTGATGTGGGACTTGATCCCAGGACCCCAGATCATGACCTGAGCCAAAGGTAGACACTCACCACTGAGCAACCTAGGTGTGCCAAAAATATATTTTCACTTGAAGACTACCAATCATGCAGTTTTTAAAAAAGGATTATTTTTTAAAGTAATCTCCATACCCATTGTGGGGCTCAAACTCAACCGCCAACCAGGTGCCCCTACGTGTGCAATTTCCCTTATTTTTGGTTCCTAAAGGAGTTTTAAGTTTACCTGATGGCATTCATGTGTTCACTCACCAAGTATTTACCCAGTCCCTACCTGAGCCAGGTTCTGTCCGAGGTGCTGAAGGTAGGGATGAAAACAGCGATGTACCTGACGCCATGGAATTTGCATCTTGGTAGGGGAGTAGAGTTCGCGGGAGAGGCTGGGCTGGAGGTCCACATTTGAGGCCAGGAGCACACGGTGTTTTAAAGCCATGAGAGAGGAGCACTTAGGTGGCTCAGTGGTTGAGCATCTGCCTGGGCTCAGGGTGTGATCCCAGGGTCCTGGGATCGAGCCCTGCATTGGGCTCCCTGTGGGGAGCCTGCTTCTCCCTCTACCTATGTCTCTGCTTCTCTCTGTGTGTCTCCTGTGTCTCTCATGAACAAATAAATAAAATCTAAAAAAAGAATAATAAAGCTATGAGAGAAGAGAAAATTCTAGAGGGGAAAAGCATGTGGAGGCACACCAAAGGACCAAGCCCAGGGCACCCAAAGCTCAGCCTCTCAGAGCAGCAGCTCCTCCATCCTGAAATAGGTCTGTGTCTATGGTTGGCCCTTGTGCTGCTAGGCCTGCGGCCCCCATGGTTTGCTCCCCATGATAGATACAGATTAGGGTGCACCATTCCTGCACCAGGGCTCTGCATTCATCTTCAACAACCCCACCCCCACCCCCAAGTAGTGTCCCACTGAGGCTCAGAGAGGTGACAGAACTTGCTGCTCAGGATAAGGTGGCACTTAACCCTTGAGCCTAGTCCTGACTCTGTTCTCCACGTGACACCGCTGGACCTTGGTGCAGCCCTGGCTATGGGGTCAGTCAGCCCTAGAGCGCATCCCCATTCTGCCTGTGGTTTGGCTGCCTCGAAGGTACTGAGGCTGGAGAAACGGAGGTGAGAATGCATTAGTGACCTCACCTGAGAGAAGGAAGTAAGAAGCCAATGGCAGCTGGCCCCATGCTTAAGAATGATCAGCGTTTGGAAATGTCTCTCAGGAAGATAGATCCTCAGAGGCCAGGATCACCCAAGATGGTCATCATCTTCTTTTTAAAAACATTTGTTCCCAGAAGGGTACAAGGAAAAATGACTATGAAATGCAATGTCACGTGGCAGGAACAGGAGAGAAATCCAGCACAATTTTTAAAAAAAATATTAAGACACTGGGAAGGAGGCATTTGAAAGAAATGGGTAGAAAAGAAATTTTAGGAAGATCTCAGAATCTTCGTACATCATCTTTAATGGGCACAAACTTTTTGGACATGGTATATTTCCATATCCAAGTCTTGAGTAAATCTGAGTTCATCCTACATTGGGGATGGAGGGCCCACCCAGGCTCTAAATTCCTGCTAACAGTTACTAAGCAGGGACTTCGAGCCACACAGTTTAGAGCTTCTGCCACTGACAATTGGAAATTAGCATAAGGCATCTTTTTATTTTCATTAAAAGTTTTTTTTTTTCATAAAGTGTCTTTAAAAAAATAATTTATCGGGGCAGCCCGGGTGGCTCAGCGGTTTAACACCGCCTTCGGCCCAGGGTGTGATCCTGGAGACCCGGGATCGAGTTCCCATATCGGGCTCCCTGCACGAAGCCTGCTTCTCCCTCTGCCTGTGTTTGTGCCTCTCTCTCTGTGTGTGTCTCTCATGAATAAATAAATAAAATCTTAAAATAATAATTTATCAAAGTGAAATTTGATAACATAAAAACTAATCATTTTAGAAAAACCTGGGTGGTTCTGTTGGTTAGGTATCTGACTCTTGATTTTGAGATTGTGGGATCGAGTCATGCAAGGGGCTCTCTGCACTCAGTAAGGAGGCTGCTTGCTTTCTCCCTGTCCCTCTGCCTCTCCACCCATGCACTCTCTCTCTCTCAAATAAATAACTAAAATCTTTTTAAAAAACACTAATTTTAAAGTCAACAGATCAGTGGCATTTAATGCATTAACAATGTTAAGCAATCAACACCTGTATCTAGTTCCAGAACATCTCCATCACTCCCAAGTAAAGCTCCTTTGCATAAAGCATCTTTTAAGTTGTAGGAATAACAAAGCCTCATAACTGTAGCTTAGCTGGGAAGGAATGGCATTTTCATGATAAATCCAAAACAATTTTAAAATGCACTTAAAAGGGGATCCCTGGGTGGCGCAGCGGTTTAGCGCCTGCCTTTGGCCCAGGGCGCGATCCTGGAGACCCGGGATCGAATCCCACGTCGGGCTCCCGGTGCATGGAGCCTGCTTCTCCCTCTGCCTGTGTCTCTGCCTCTCTCTCTCTCTCTCTCTCTCTGTGTGACTATCATAAATAAATAAATAAATAAATAATTTTAAAAAAAGCACTTAAAATATTTAGACTTGAAAAGATAGCTCACAGGAAAAAGCCAATAAACCTATGAGCAGATGTTCACTACTGTATCAGAGATGCAAATGAAAACAAGACATCATCTTTCACGAGTCAGATTAGCAAAATAAAAATGATTGACATGGCACAGTGCTGGCAAAGGTATAAGTGGGCAGGTACTCTCACTGCTAGGGGGACATGGAGACTGGGGAGTCCCTTTTGGGAGAGCAATTTGCTCCTCCCTGCTAAATTGGATCATGTCCTCTGACGTCTAGGAATGTAGCCCACAGACGTCCTCACACAGTATGCCAAGACGTAAGTAAAAGGATGTCTTGCTCAAAAATATTTTCAAAAATGGAAACAAGCCAGATGTCCATTAATAGGGGATTAGTTAAATGATGGCTTGGTACTACACTGAAACATGATGCTGCTTTTAGAAAAGAAAAAGTAAGCTCCTGTGTGTAACGTGGGAATATCTCTAAGACATAATATATTTTCATATAAAATTACATTTCTATAATTTATCTAATTTTTAAAAGATTTTGTTTGAGAGAGAGAACGAGAGAGTGAGCAGGATCGGAAGAGGGCCAGAGGGAGAGAGAGAAGCAGACTCCCTGCTGAGCAGGGAACACAATGCAGGACTTGATCCCAGGACCCCAGGATCATGACCTGAGTCAAAGAAAGGCAGACGCTTAACTGACTGAGGCACCAGGTGCCCTAATTTATCTAATTTTCACCTAAAATTATAATTATCTAGATTAGAATATACAAAAGAAATTCTCGAGTCCTAGACACCAAACTGTTACCCACAATTATCTGGGGATAAAGGGTGCAGCAATGTGGGGATCTAGGTAGGTTATCTATCTTATGCATGTCTACATGTGTGAAATTGTTCACAATGAATATGTACTACTTGTTGAATGAGAAACAAAAGATAATAGCTTTATGAAATTGTTGGATACATGTTTAACAATGCTAGGTGACAGTTACATGGCTCCTACTATGTGCCAGAAATGGTTCTGTGTGCTGTTTATTAGCCTACCTAATGTTTCCCACGGTCTCCTGGGGTAGGCAGACTATTTTGACTTTTTTTGGGGGGGTGGCTTTTTCTGTTTTATAATGTAAATTAAGATATAATTTACATATCATAAATTTACCACATTCCCATGGTTTTTACTATATTCACCAAGTTGTGCAACCATCACCACTACCTGATTCAAGAATATTTCCATCACCTCAAACAACCCCCCCAAACCCATTGTCAGTCACTCCCCTTCCCCCCACTCCTGCCCCACCCTTGGCAACCACCCAGCTCTGTTCTATCTCTGTGGATTTGTCTGTTCTGGATATTTCATGTAAGTGGAATCATAGGATATGTGACTTTTTGTGTCTGACTTCTTTCACTCAGCAGGATGTCTTCAGAGTTAGTCCCTAGGTCTAGTGTGTGTCAGTTTTTCATTCCTTTTTTATGGCCAGGTCATAGTCCATTGTAGAGACATACCCTCTTTATCCATTCACCCGTTTGTCAGACATTTATGACATCTCTGTTTGGGGCTGTTGTGAACACCTGTGTGTAGGTTTCTGTGCAGAGACCTCATCGTGGAATAGCCAGGTCACACAGTAACTCTGTTTAACCATTTAAGAAGCCACCAGACTATTTCCCAAAGCAGTGCCACAGGCTCACGTTGCCACCAGCAGTGTGTGGCAGTTCCACATTCACTGCAGCCTTGCCCCTCTTTAAGGGTCCAAGCTGGGTTTCAAACCAGAGTCTGCCCCTAGCCATGTCTCCCTGCCTTCTGTCCTGAAGCTCCTGTTTTGCTAGCTTTAGGGAAGGTATTGCTCTGGGCTTAGGGTAATGTCCCATAACCTCACCTTGGATCAGATTAAAGAAGTCTGACTATTGCTGGGGTATGATTCACGACCATTTGCTTCCTGGACAGGACAGTGTTTTGAAAGTCTGTGTGTTGCACTTGGACCTGAATGTCAGGTGTCTGGAGCCATGGATGGCACCTCATTCCGCTCTCTTGACCTGCTGCCGGGAAAGGGGTGTTTTCCTACGTCCTGCCAATGCATGTCACTTCCTCACGTTTTTTTGTCCCTTGTTCCTGTACACATTCTTGAGGCATAATGTTCTCTTTACTCAGCTGTCGAGGAGGAAAGTCAAAGCCTCCACCACGAAAAGCATTCTTCACAATCAGACTTTCCCTGGAGCATTTACTGTTTGGAGCTGTTGCCCCTTATTTATGGCAGCTGTTAGCAGAGGTTGAGAGAGAGGTTCCTACCTGAGTGACAGGACAGGAAATTGGGAATGCAACATGTGCATGGTATTATGAAAGGTAGCTAGTCATGAAACCTGCTTCAGATTTGTGGAATAATAATTAAAAAAGTGTTTCTTTTTTTCCTCCTGCAGAAAGACGCTTCTTGGGCCAGTGTTTGGTTCTCCAATTGAGCAGATACAAATCCTTCCAGTGAAAACCACTTTGGAACTGCAGAAACGCTACGTGGTGTTTATTAACAGAGACAAGGTATCAGCCTTTGCTCTCTGCCTCTGTGAGATGACTCTGTGTGTTTTGAGTAGCAGTCAGCTCCAAGTAAGATAAGACTCAAGGATGCTGGGTGTCATAGCCAAGCCTAGCTACTTCTGTCCCCGTGAATAGTGATACTGAAAATTGCCATAAATGAGTAAAAATTGGGTCTTAGGAAGCATTTCGGAGTAGAGTTACTGATTTTTTTTCGTACTCCCATGAAGACAGCAAAGGATTTTTTTTCTTCTGATTTATTTATATGGAAAAATCTTTTTTAAAAAAATTTATTTATTTATTTGAAAGAGAGAGAGAGCATGTGAGCAGGGTGAGGGGCAGAGGGAGAAGCAGACTCCCTGCTGAGCAGAGACACCCCCCACAACCCCATGTGGGGCTCAATCCCAGGACTCTGGCTGGCCAAAGGCAAATGCTTAACTGACTGACCCACCCCAGCGCCCCTACATGGAAAAATCTTATAAAGACATGCAACTAGTTACACTTCATTCTACAGTTAATAATCTTTCAATAATAATATTGAAAAGCATAAAATCATAGGATTCCAAATTATTCTGGAAAACCTTGGATGTCTGACTGTAAAGACAGGTGAAAGCTTACTTCCTGTGTCTCTACCAGAACTTGGCATCTCTCTCTTCGGGGCCCACCCCACAGGGGTCAGTGTCTGTGAAGCCCAGGCCATGTGAAATGGATCTCTCACACACACAGGTAGTTCCAGATGCACAGGTGTTTCCAGGAAACATGTAAACATGCCAGGCCCTAACCCGGGGCCCAGTTTTCTGACTCTGAATTCCCAATTACATGTTCCCCTCCAGGTTGGACTTCAGATCTTACCAGTTGATGGCAATCCACATAAAACATCTGCTATCGTATGCCACCCAAGTGGGGTGGCAGGAATGGCCCTTTCCTACGACGGCTGCTATGCCTTCACGGCTGGAGGACAGGATCGGTCGGTGGTGCAGTGGGAAGTCAATGTAAGGTATGTGATGAGTGAGAAGCTCAGCCCTGCACAGAAGGTCAAGTGCAGACCCTCTTTTTTTAACCAACAACAGCAGGCCTGGCCTTCAGGTTGCTCCCTGTGACATGTCTATGTTCATGTGCGGATGAAAGGTTATTTTTTTTAAGACTATTTATTTATTCATGAGAGACACAGAGAGAGAGGCAGAGACATAGGCAGAGGGAGAAGCAGGCTTTCCGCCAGAAGCCTGATGCAGGACTCTATCCAGGACCCCAGGATCACGCCCTGAGCTGAAGGTAGATGCTCAACCACTGAGCCACCCAGGCGTCCCCGGACGAAAGGTTATTCTGCTTCAGGGACTGATGGAATTTGCAGTGAAGGCAGTGTGATTCCACCTCGTTCTCGCGAGGCCCCTGAAATACTTCCTGCTCTGTCATCTGCAAATTCACACCAGCTAGAAAGAGCTTGCCCAAATCTCTGAAGCATGGGTAACAGCAAGCATAAGAGTATTATATGAAACATGGTTTCCAGTCTGCTTTTCTGACCCACAGCCCTGAGCTGTGAGACCCTCTGCTTTGGGTAAGGCTGGAGAGGTCCAGGGTCGAGCGTTGGGAAATCCTCAGACTTTGAGGTCAAAGAGGCATGGGTTTGACTGTGGGGCCTACTTTCTGCTGACTGTGAGTCCTCGGGCATGTTTCTTAACATCTCTGATATTCAGAATCCTTGTCTGTGAAATGGGGGAAAGGAGGATAAAAATGGGGACTCTTAGAGGATCCTTGTAAAGATTGAATAGCACAGAGCTAGGGGCTCTGTACATGAACTATTTTCTCTCATATTCTCTTATTAAAGAGCTTTACTAGGAAAGGGGGCAAGTGCTACAGCAATTCTCTCATCTACTGGAATTCAGTGAGTTGCCACAGGGCAGAGCCGGTTGCCATCCCTGAGCCCTTCTCCCAGCCCCTGCCTTTCAGGCAGAGTCATGTTCAAGAGCTGGGCACAGACAGCTTAAAGGCACCTTCCTTCTTAAAGAATCCTTTAATTCATGTGCCAAGTGCACATCTCTCTTACAGCAGACACGGAAGCTTCTTCTCTTAACCAGAATATGAGCAAAAACAGCCAGGTAAATCTGCTTTGGATCCACACTGGTTTCAGGCTGCAGTTACAACTCTGACCTTCACCTCTGCCTTCAGCTCAGAGAGCAGATCTTGGGAATTTGGGACTTTAGAAACTGGAGGTGAGCTCTCACATTGAAAAGCACTTCCCAATTGTGCACCCAGAATGAGCTGCTTGATTCCTTGACAGCCTGTCTATTACCTGGAACAGCAGGAACAGGCAACACCCTGGTGACAGGACAAAATCTCCTTTTGATTTTTGTCCTCTTCTCGATAATTATGGTAGAGATTAAAGGAAAAAAAAAAAAAGGTACCTGCTTTCCAGTGGCTTTCCTGTGCCTGGCCAGAGTCCAGGCTTCTAAGAATTTCAATTTAATCTGTTGTGGGGACAAAGGATCATTATAAACTAATTAGCACTTCATTGCTGCTTCTCGTGTTCAGTGCTTCAGTAATGGAAAGAAATGTAACAACCCTAAACAAGTAAACAAACAAAACTCCCTGCTGGTCTACCTATGGCGTGTCGCAGGGTGAAATTAAGATGCTGAGTTCTCTCATGTTCCCAGGATTTTCATCCATGTACTTCTGGGCCCAGGTATGCTCGCTGCAGCACATTGACTTTCTCCCTGGCACGCCCCTCCCTCCCTTGCATCTTGTCCTAGGGTTCATTCCACTTACACTCAGCCTTTACCCCATCTTGGCTGGTATGCCCCTCTTCTCCTGTTTTTAAATCCCCCATTACTTTCTTTTTTAAAAGAGATTATGTATTCATTAGAGACACAGAGAGAGACGCAGAGACATAGGTAGAGGGAGAAGTGGGCTCCCTATGGGGAGCCCGATGCTGGAATTGATCCCAGGACCCTGGGATCATGATCTGAGCCAAAGGCAGACACTCAACCACTGAGCCACTCAGGTGCCCCTCCCCCATTACTTTCAGATGCTCAGTCTCACAGCCACCTGTAGTCCTGCCACCATGCTCAGACGAGAGCAGATAAGACCCAAGTTCAAATACTACATTTCCTGCCTGCCTATTGTATGACTTCAGGCTAGTCCCTTAACTTCTGAGTCTCAGTTTCTCCGTCTGTTAAGTAGGAATATCATCACTGTTTTGAGAGTAAAGATTACCACCATTGCTGTTCCTCCCCACTGCCTCCAGCCCCTAGGAAGCACTTGCTAAGCACTTACTCTGTGTTACAGTCAGTACTCGATGCTTCTCCTGATTGAGCTCATTTCCCGGAAGCACTGTATGGATATCTTGGCACACAATAGGTTTTCAATAAATGTACTTCTCCTTTGTGCCCTAATGACCCCACTCTTTTTGCTGTAAGCATTAGAAACCCCGCTTTAGCACAACGGGGCATCTCAGGTAACCACACTGCAGGAAGAGCAGAGACGGTGTACACTCCGTGCCCTTGGCATTCGCTCTCTGCCCGGCTCTGCTATTGGCTTCATTCTCTGTACAAAGGTTCGGTTCTCAGTGTGAACATGACCACTGACAGTCCTCAGATTTCACAAACTGGAGCTCTTACCACAGAGAGAGAAGATCTCTTTCCTCAGCTCTGGTCGACAACCCCAGAACTGTCCCTTCGGCTCTCTCAGGTCGGTTGACAGTGGCTAGGAAGCAGGAGATGTAGTACAGTCCTGACCACCAGAGAGCTGTTCCCAGAGCATCCAGAGTTCTTATGAGCCTTTCCCAGGCACTCCTGGTGGTGACAGGCTCCTCTGTATCACTTTTGGCCTTTACCTAGCCTTGTTCCAGAGCTGCATGGCTAAAAGTAGCCTCCCACAGAGCCTGCTGGGACTGGGCCTGGGCAAGGCCTGGAGGCCACAGAGAGGGAGTCCTCTGAACTAGACACCTGCCTTATGGCTAATATCAGAGCTGAGAGCTGGGTAAAGCGTGGGCCCTCCTGGAGAAGGGCCTCCAGCCCACCTGGAGAACACACTAGCTTCCCAGACCCTAACGGAGCTGGCTTATGCAAGGCCCTGACAAGAGGGCCAAGACAATTTTGTGGCTGACTCTTTGAAGAGAGGTATAGGTGTATATTGATATGAAGTCCAACAGAAAGGAAACTGCCTAACTGCCTCATCCTGAGCCTTCTCTGGGCCAGGCCCTGTGCTGACCGCTTTCCATGCATTGTCTGATTTCATTCTCATAGCCACCCTGTGAGTCAGGGACTGCTGGTATCCCCACACAATATTCCCATATGTCTAGAAGCTAGCTCCCAGGTGTTTAATGATCCTCTCAAGCACTGGAGTAAGTGGTGGAGCTGAGATTTACATCCGGGTCTATCTGATTCAACAGCACACCTTAACACTTGCCCCAGGGGAGAACAGAGGTCTTCGGGTCAAACCCTTTATATGGCTTCACTCCATTTCCATAACAGCCCTGTGAGGCAAACCTATAATTAACTACTCCCATTCTGCAGATGAGGAAACTGGAACCCAGGGAGGTTGTTCCTTGCCGGTGATCACACTGCTTGCAAGTGGCAGAGCCAAGACTCACAAGCATGTCCCTTTGACTCCAGGTTCTGGATACTTAACCACTTCCCCACTGTGGTCTATACTGACATGTGTTTTAATAACCCCACAAATAAACTAATGGCCAGATTAGCAGAAATCCAGTTAGTGGATTATTACCGATGATTTCGTGTTATTTGTGTTTCTATGGGGCAAAGTCAGTCTCATATAAAAAAGTAGGTTTTCTTACCATTTACAGTGCCTATTTTTAGGAAGCCTGACCCCATGTTAGAGAGCAGAGGGTTATTTTTATCTGACTGGCATGGGTCCCTTGTGGCCTCCCGAGTTTTTATGGAAGCAATTAGTGTTGGCAGCGTACCTGCTCTTATCCTGGTTTTTGGCTCCGGTCATATGCAGATCTCACGTTACGAGTGAAGCTGCTTCGCTGGGGAGGCCTGTGATTTCAGCACACAGGAGCCCTCCTTCCCTCCCCCTGGAGAGCTGTGCTCCCCAAACACTGCAGACAAATTGTGAAGCTCCTGCCCTGTCATCAGTGAGTGTGTATCCCTTCATTAAGGCAGGTGCCCTATACCACCAGATTCCACATGGAAATTGAATTTTTCATTTTCAGCTTCATTTTGGAGATTTTTCTAACTGGTTTATAGAGACCCTAATTGTGTGGGTGCCGTAATACCCTACAGAGGTCTGTGGTGCCAGGCAGATGCTGGCTGACCTGCACTTACGGCTGAGCGCCTTCTAACAGTGATGTTTCTATTATTGTTCTAGTGCCCTGGAGGCAGCAGTTTCTCTTGGGGGTGAAGACTTGACCCCATTCTATGGTCTGGTGGCTGGTGGCAGGGAAGGAAAATTCTACAGGGTAATTGTCCTCAGAGTAAACACTTCCTGGTAACATCTATTTAGGTTTGTAAAACAAATGTGCCTGAGGGTGAACCTTCTCACTTTTTTCTAAAGCTCTTTTCTCCACTGAGCTCAAAATGTACTTTCTAGAAAATGTCCTTGGAGTCCTAATGGATATTTTAGACTTTAGCCAAAATGTGTGTTGTGTTTCCATTTTATTTCCACGTAGGAGCTGGAAGACTATTTTTACTATTCTCAGCTCCGTAGTCAAGGTATTGATACAATGGAGACCAGAAAGGTGTCGGAACACATTTGCCTGTCAGAGCTTCCTTTTGTCATGAGAGCAATTGGCTTTTACCCATCGGAAGAAAAGGTAAGTAGAAGAAAAACAAGAAGAGCAGTGGGATATGTTATTTATGAAAATGACCTCTGGGAACAATAAGTATAAGCCAAAGTAAAAATTTAACATTATTCTTACATAAAAGGATTGGAAAGAAGGTTCTGGGCATACCAGATGCGCTCCTCAGAAACAGACTTACCACAAAGATATTCCTTAAAGTCTTCTTCCTTAGCACAGCCTGACCACTGGTAAGAGTTTGGGTTTTGAAATTAGACTGGTCCTTGCTTTGCTCAAGGAGGTGATGCTTGCAAAGCACAGAGTGTGGGGCTGGGCACATAGGGAAAGCTCAGTGAGTGAGCTCAGTGAGTCGTTATTGAAATGATTATCAATGCTGTTGAGATTCTTGCTGTTCCTCTGGCCTGTGTGAATGGGGCGCTGCTGGAAGGTGCTCATCCTGGGCTGTAGGGCTCAGAAGAAGCCGTACTGTAGTTAGTTCTCATGACCACACAAAACATAGAAGCTAGAAGGGGCTCCTAGGGACCAGAGCACTCCAGGGAAGATGGTCTTCCTAGGGACCATGGTTTACAATTGCAATCAACCGGGTTTTCCTTCAGACTTGAAATGTTGTTTTTTTTTTTTTAAGATTTTATTTATTTATTCATGAGAGACACAGAGAGAGAGGCAAAGGCATAGGCAGAGAGAGAAGCAGGCACCTGCAAGGAGAGCCCAGTGAGGGACTTGATCCCAGGACCCTAGGATCACAACCTGAGCCAAAGGCAAACACTCAACCACTGAGCCACCCAGGTGCCCTCAGACTCAAGATGTTAACACAATTTTATTGTAGAAAGTTTGGAAAAGGTACACAAGTGACATGAAGAATACAGTTACTTATAATCCTGCTACACAGGCCTAACAGTTTTTAGTATTTTCCTTGATGTATAGATCCACATAAAATTAGGTATACATATGGGATCCCTGGGTGGCTCAGCAGTTTAGCACCTACCTTCAGCCCAGGGTGTGATCCTGGAGACCTGGGATCAAGTCCCACATCAGGCTCCCTGCATGGAGCCTGCTTCTCTCACTGCCTGTGTCTCTGCCTCTCATTCTCTCTCTCTGTGTCTCTCATGAATAAATAAATAAAATCTTTAAAGAATTTTTTGTATACATATTTTATATATATATAAAATTTAAAAAACTAATTAGTACCATGTTGAATATGTTTTTATTCTTTATTTCCATTTGATGTTACACCAGAAGCATTTTAATTTATTAATAATAATCTGAAAACATGATTTTTTAAAAGATTATTTATTTATTAAAATTATTTATTTATTTATTTGACATAGAGAGCACAAGCAGGGGGAACATCAAGCAGAGAGAGAGGAAGAAAAAGGCTCCCCACTGAGCAGGGAGCCCAATGTGGGCTCAGTCCCAGGACCCCAGGATCATGACCTAAGCCAAAGGCAGATACTTAACCAACTGAACCACTCAGGTGCTCCAGATTTATTTATTTATTTATTTGAGAGAGAGAGAGAGAGAGCAGAGCATAAGACAGCATGAGTGGGAGGGAGGAGTACAGGGAGAAGTAAACTCTGCACTGAGTAGGGCACCCGATATGGGGCTCCATCCCAGGACCCCAGGATCATGACTGAGCCAAAGGCAGATCCTAAACCAACTGAGCCACCCAGATGCCCCTGAAAACATGATTTTTAAAGGACATGTCTTAATTTTATAACTTTCTCTGATTTAGAAAATAGAACTATAAAGAAAAACTAGAAATTACTTAGAGATAATCATTGTTAACATTTTGGTGGACTTCCTTCTATTGTTTTATATATGGATATAGATACGTCGATATTTTAAAATAAGGAATTGGCATTACATGGCATATATGTGTATACATCCATGTATATCAACAGTTTACAGAGTATATGTATGCATATGCATGCATAAGTGTATGGATTTGTGCATGTATATGTATATATATGTATATATTTATATCAGCATTCTCAGTAACTATTATTTTGTGAGCACGGTGGTAATAATGCAATGTACTTTTTCCCCTGGCTTTATTGAGATATAATTGACATATAACCTTATATAGTTTAAGGGATACAGTGTAGTGATTTTATATATGTATTATTACAAAATGATTACCACAATAAAGTTAGTTGACATATCCATCCCCTCACATAGTTACAATTTTTTTGTGTGGTGAGAACTTTTATTTATTTATTTATTCTTTTTTCAAATTTTTATTTACATTGTAGTTGGTTAATATATATATATATATAAAATATTGGTTTTGGTAGTAGAATTCAGTTATTCATCACTTACATACAACATCCAGTGCTCATTACATCAGGTGTTCTCCTTAATGCCCATTCTCCATCTAGTCCAACCCGTACCCACCTCCCTCCATCAACCCAACCCGCAGTTTGTTCTTTTTTTAATTATTTTTATTATTTTTATTTTTTCAGTTTGTTCTTTATTGTTAAGAGTCTTATGGTTTGTTTCCCTCTTCCTCTCTCTCTTTTTATCCTTCCCATATGTTCATCTGTTTTGTTTCTTAAATTCCACGTATAAGTGAGATCATATGGTATTTGTCTTTCTCTGACTCGCTTATTTCACTTAGCATAATAGCCTGTAGCTCCATCCATGTCATTGCAAATGGCAAGATTTCATTCTTTCTGATGGCCGAGTGGTATTCCATTGTGTATATACACCACATCTTCTTTATCCATTCCTCTATTGATGGACATTTGGCTCTTCATTAGAACTTTTAAAATCTGCTTTCTAGATGAATGGATAAAGAAGCTATGGTATATGTATACAATGGAATATTACTCAGCCATTAGAAACGACAAATACCCACCATTTGCTTCAACGTGGATGGAACTGGAGGGTATTATGCTGAGTGAAGTAAGTCAGTCGGAGAAGGACAAACATTATATGGTCTCATTCATTTGGGAAATATAAAAATAGTGAAAGAGAATAAAGGGGAAAGGAGAGAAAATGAGTGGGAAATATCAGTGAGGGTGACACAACATGAGAGACACCTAACTCTGGGAAATGAACAAGGGGTAGGAGAAAGGGAGGTGGGTGGGGGAATGGGGTGATTGGGTGACAGGCACTGATGGGGGGCACTTGACGGGATGAGCACTGGGTGTTATGCTATATGTTGACAAATTGAACTACAATAACAGAATATACAAAATAAATAAATAAAAATAAAAACCCCGTCTCAGTAAAAAATAAATAAATAAAATAAATAAATAAAATCTGCCTTCTAGCAACTTTCAAATATATAATGCAGTATTGTTAACTATAGTTACCACCATGCTGGATATTACATTCCCCAGGACTTTTTCTTTTTTTTTTTTTCCCCAGGACTTTTTCATCTTATAACTGGAAGTTTGTACCCTGGCAACCACTATCTGTTTTCTGTTCCTATGAATTTGGGGTTTTTAAAGATTCCACATACATGACACATGTATGACTCTGTCTGATTTAACTTCATTCAGCATAATGCCCTCAAGTTTTCATCCATGTTGTGGCAAGTGGCAGGATTTCTTTCTTTTTTATGGTTGAATAATATTCTATTATATATACATAAATCACATTTTATGTATTTACTCCCACCAACAGTGCATAAGAGTCCCCTTTTCTCCACATCCTTGTCAGCATGTACCTTTTGTCTTTGATGAAAGCCATTCTAACAGGCGTGAGGTGATAGCTCATTATGCCTTGACTTGCATTTCTCTGATGAGTAATGTTGAGCACCTTTTCACATTTGAATATCTTTTTTGGAAAGATGCTTATTCAGGCCTTTGGCCCATTTTTAAATTGGGTTTTGTTTGTTTGTTTTTGGTATTGGGTTGTATGAGTTCCCTATATATTTTAGATAGTAATAGTAACCCCTTATCAAATGTATGGTTTGCAGATATTTTCTCTCATTCCATAGGTCACCTGGTCATGTTGCTAATTCCCTTTTGCTGTGCAGAAGCTTTTTGGCTTGATGCAGGCAACATGATTTTTACAGGCTGTGTACTTAGTTGAACCAGTCTCCAGCTGACAGACACATAGGTTGTCTGAAGTGTTTGGCTGTCAGGAACATGGCTGTGATGAGCATCTCCTGTGTATAGTTTTTGCATGCTCCTCTGATTATTTTCCAGTCTCCAAGTCCTAGAAATAGAATTACTGGGTCAGAGAAGGGGAACTTCAAGGCTGCCAAGCAGCTTTCCAAAAACGTAGCATTACGCAGCCTGCCAGCTAAGACGTGGTGCCCTGGGTGCATTTTAGGGATGTGAGCTGTGGTCCCAGTTATTCCTCCAGGCCCACCTAGAACCACCTGTTTTTGTGTACTCCGGGTATGACTGGAAGGTGACTTTTATTCTCCAAATAGCATCTGGAAAAATGAGCTCTGAGAGCCCATAGACCCATGCAGAGACTTGAATGTGCCCCTTCATCACAGTGGGTATTCTGAGCTCCTCAAAAGGTCTTTTGACCAAGGTACATTTTGTAAAAGTACATGCCCAGAAATGGAACCGACAATGGAGAAAGTTTGTGCAACTCACATAAAAGTGTTCCTGAGAGCTGTTTCCAAAGCACGTTCCTTAGAACTGCCAGCTCCCAAGCTGGCTCCCAAACTGGCAAATCACAAGCACCTGGAGCACTTAGTAAATGGACAGATTCCTGGGCCCATCCTGTATTGAGCCAATCAGAATCTCCAAGTATGGGGCCTAGGTATCCACATTTTCCCCTTGCCCTGGCCTGTAAACTCCTGCCTTGGGACATTGGCTCCATGGGTGTTTATCAGGGCCACTCATGCTCAAGGAAGGAGCACTAGACAAAGCGAAATAGGATTATTAGTCAAGATTCCCCTTTGGTTACAGGTTACAGAAACCTATTGCAAACTAGTTATATGTTCACAGTCTCGAGGGTAAAGGTAATGCTCAGTGTGACCTAATCAGGGCCCTCACACTGCTGCCAGGAAGCATCTCTGCCTCTCCCCAGGCCTCACTTTTCTCCCT